CTGTTCATTGACAATAACTCAACCATAATCTTTGAACTGCTTGACAACCTTCACTGGAAGTTCTTGTCAATCAAACTAACAATTCCCAAGAAATCTTAACTAAAGCTGACATGACATTTGTAAACCTATCACTACTCTAATCTCTACAAAACCTCCAGTCATAGAGCATTCCACAAAAGATCTCACCCAGAACATAACAGAATTTTGGTATTTTCACTGTTGTGCTTGACTATTAATGAGGTTGGGTTTTGCCTTCGGTCAACAAGCTATACAAAACATGCTCAAACCACCCAATCTACATTATAAAATGTCAAGCAGCAACTCTGCTATGTTCGAGGACCTATAGACTTCGGCCTCCTTATAATCCATGGCAATCTCACCTTTCTAGACTACTTTGACACTAACTCGGTTGGCGACACCGATAATCACAAATCAACAACAGATACTGCGCCTTTGTTGGTCATACCCTTATCTCAGTGGATTGCTCTTCCGTTGAAGCTGAATTTTGTGCTTTTGCCACCATTGCAACCAACCTCATGGCTTTATTGTGTATTTTAGGAGTTTGGTGCTCCCCTATGGCAACTTAAAACTCTTTATTATGATGACATCTCACCTTAGCTTTAGCAACTAATCCTTTTTTTCATGACAGAACAAACAAATTGAGATAGATGGTCACTTTATCCATGATTGCATTTAAGCCCAGCTCATCTCTACATCATGTGCTCGCTCAGGATCAAATTTTAGACAACTTTACCAATCTGTTACCCGCATCACTCTTTAACAATTTTGAGGCAATCGGACTATCCTCCCAAAATCACCTTGTGGGGAGATAATAACTGCCCAAATTTTACTCTGCTCTGCCACTAACTCAACCCAGTACAATTGCAGTCATGAACACTCATAAGCTATTGGAGCATCATAGCCATTCATGGACTACTAATTGTAATTGACTAAAATACATCTATAACTCATTGTAATAGCTGCTAGATGAAATGGATGAAATGCTTTACCTAACTGTTCTTTCTTCCTGTGTTTATTATCTCTCTTGCTGAAGCAATTCCACAATGCTATCTAATGATGGATAAAAGACTTTCTTAGGTGAATTTTGTAACCAACAGATTCTAACAGCATTCTAAGTTGTGTTTTCAGGTTCGGGATGCAGGAAATCTTCTCACAAGGGCAGGTTTCGCTCTTCCTGGGGTTGATGTTGAGGAATATACTGTCAGATATGATAGTGGTCTGATTCTTCATAGAATAATCTTGTTGGATTTGGTTTTGTTATTTGCAGTATACTCGGGAAATTACCAGGCTCTTTTAATGAGCATCTTCTTGCCAATTTTGTTAGGAATACTATAGGCTTTTGGTTAAATTTTAAATCAAGCGGCATATTCATAATTTTTTGCATCAGCAAATGTCAAATCGATTTGATATGGCCAATTGATACTCAGGTGTATCGTACTTATGATTTGATTTGGAACAAAAAAAATTAATAATAATAAATTAAAAATTATTTTAAGAAAAGATTAAATCACAAAGCAGTCCCCTAATTATTTATGTGCAACCAATTCCATCTTAGAGTATCACAATAATCTAATTGTCTCCCTTTACTTTGTAAAATTGATACAAAAGGGATCCCTCGTGTAGGATTTGTGATACAAAATTGATATCATTTTAGTCCCTTGAATGCACAAACATGATCCCAATGTAGTTCCCAGTGTTATTATGTGGAGTATGATTGTGTTGAACAATTGTAATCTCAGAGCCCTCAATTTCACCAATCAAGCTTGACGGTGAGTTTGTCGAGTGGTACGAGGGGTTGTGCTCCCCTATAATTTTTTTTTTTTCATGCATAGCACCTTGACGCTGTATTTGCAGTGCGCCAGTGCTGAGACTAGTAGCACGTTGAGTCCAGTTTTAGAAGCCGAGAGCATGACACTGCAGCTCCCCATCGCCCATTGGAGCACCACATTGTCGCGCTTTGGCTCCCATAACCGATTTTTTATAATTATTTAGTTATTGTGTCAGTTTTGTTGATTGGGTTGTGTTGGATTTTGAATTTTCTTGTGCAAAGGAGAAGAGATGAGTGTCATGTAGTGTTTCAAAGTGTGAAAAGGCTTTGAGTGTGGTATAATTTGAACAATTCTCCTCATTTTCCTCATAGTGGATTTTTTGGTGTGTGTGGCTCTATGGGTTTTTTCTATTCTCGGGTTTTTTCACATTAAATCTTGTGTTTTTTTATGTTTTTTTCGTTTTGTTTTGTGCGCTTCTGTTAGAAGTTTTGTTTCAGATCTCTTAAATTAGTTTCCACAATTTGCATCTCCCAACACCCAGGGTTCACTTTGAGTCAATTTTATACAGTAGAGGAACTAAATTTGAAGAAATATGATATTCTTGGACTAAATTGGCCACATTCGAAAAATTGAGGGATTTTTTTTTTTTGAAAATGCTGTAGAAGAATTTTGGTGATTTTGAAAAAGTAAATGCAAAGAATCATTTAGGCGGCCTTTTTCCCAATTTAAATTCTACAACAAGTAAATGAAATTTATTGTGGCTATATTCAGCATGTTCTTCAATTATTTCCTCTTTCTTGATATAGCTTCTTTTTTGTTTGATATAGCTTTGGAGCTAATTGAACACTTGCGCTCAATGGCCGAGACTAATGCACTCCTGCAGAGAAGTAAAGTGAGTCTCTGTTGTCTTTGCAAAAATATTAACAAACGCATGTCTTTGCTCTTATTTTTGGTCCATTTGCTGTTTTTTGTTTTTTTAGGTGGTATTTGATAGCGTATTATTTATAAGATTTAACCACAGCCAAACACCAAAAAAAAAATTAAATTAAATCCAACATTTTGTCTCTCTCTTCCTGTATTTCGTCATTTTTACGACGTAAATCTGATTGCGAGCTGGATTTATTATGTTGTCGCTTGCGAGCTCAAATCAGGATTTATCAAATTTGATAAATCCTATTTAACGTAAAACTAAGTTACAATGAAACACCTCCTTAATCTTCTATTTTGTTTATTAGTATTAAAAAAATTAAGCTCTTCTGATTCTTTAGATTCTGAAGAGGGAGACTGCTTTGGCAACTGCTGCAGTTTATGACTCGATGTTTGCAGCAGAGGATGGAAAAGTTCCAGCAACCTTTCAGGTAACGAACATTAAAAATTTTCTGAACACAAAGTCTATTCCCCCTGTGAATTACTCAAGCTGAAATTTAGCTTAAAAATAGGATTGGAGGAAGCAATATGATTTTGGGGCGTTTGCAATTTGCATACATCCCACTCAATTCTTATATATTTACATATTCAAATCATAACCTTCACATCACAGATGTCATCATCATTATCTTTTTAAAAATGAAATGCGTCTTTTCATGCACAAGTTTATGACACCAGGATGTGATAAATGTAAATATCAAACTTTGGGTGCTAGATATGCAAATATGTAAGATATGTGTGATGTGTATGTAAATTTCCCCAGAATTTTCATTCAGAAAACTATTGCGTAATGTGGCTAAATCCTGAGTAAATACTGAAACCAAATTAGCCAAAAACGCTTTTCTAATGATGATTATATGGTTTTCTTCATGAAGGTTATATACATGACTGGGTGGAAAGAGCATCCTTCTCAGCAGAAGGCAAAGGCAAGAGGCTCAGCAACAATCTCATTCGAAGATATTCAGAAGCATTTTGGTAGCAGCGAAAATAGTTGAGATAAGCAATGACTTCTCATTCTGGTGCTGAAATTGTGTGTACTGCTATATTAATTGTTTTGATTATTGTTAAATAATTTGATTAAGGGATAATTACATATAGACCACCCGAAGTATTTTTTTGAACTATGGAATTGTTGTATTTACCTGTGCCACGACCAAACCATTGAGAATTTGATAAAAATGAAAAATATGGGCTGTGGTTTTACCATGAGAATCAAGTTTATTGTAAAAGAAATGCAAGAGTTTTAAAAATTCTAGTATTTGGTCACATGAATTCAAAATACCGTATAAATTTTGAATGTGTTTTAAATTTGACTTCATTTTTTAATTTCAATATATTTGGAATTCATTAGATTTGGACAAATTTAAATACATCGCTTCCTTGAAGTGTTGTCTGTCGTCGTTGCCTTGCCTGCCTGTCATCCACCACTGACAACCTCAATGTGCTCCTAATCATCATTGCTTCCCTGTCTGCCTGTCTTCAATTGCTATTACTGGCCTCCTCCACTTGCCAATAACCACTGCCGACACCCCAGCCTCATTTGGTTGTGACCACCTCACCCATTGGCCACCCGACTGAGCATCGCTCACCATTGTCTGCAGCCATCGTCACAGGCTCCAACTGATAGTGGTCATATATGCATTGATTTCAATTTCCTTCAAATCAAACACAAAAAAATTAACTCTTACATAATTTTTACACCGTCAAACCAAACAGCCCCTGACCAACATAAATCACTACATAATAATACATCATCAAACAAAGCATGCGGTATATGAAGGCGCTATTTGACGTTACTTGAAACAAGTTGGTACCCTTAAGAATCTTGAAGAGATTTTGATTAGAAGTATAATAGATTGTAATCTCTAATTTGTATTTTTAGTAAAATAATTATCTCATGCTAAGTGCAGCGCTGGTGTGGTCATAAATTTGCATCATATGCGACCTCCTGCAAATGGCATGTAAGATGCACAATAATATATCTTCGATCTCTTATTGATGCAAAACTCTAGTAGCGGGTTACATCTCAATTGTTCCATGTTGGAAGATCAAAATAGAATTATACATAAAAGAATCTTAAGAAAAGAAACTGGTTCCTAATCCCAAAGCTACTCCACAAGAATCTGACAGATGCAATGTGTATAATCTATTAAAAAAGTCTGAAGAAAAATTATTGTTGTCATTAAATAGCTACATTTCTGATAAGACTCACTTACAAAGAACATTTACATTGGTGCAGATAAGATCCTTGAGGGCTAGAGTTCTAGTTCATACCAGGGAAGAAATGACATCAGGCAGGTTCATGCTAATAGTGCTTCTTGGACTTGACCTTATCGAGACGAGCTTTTCGTACGGCCTGTTGGATTTGTCTCTCATGCTCTTTCAGCAATTCTTCCATATTCCCACCTTTGGGCATCAATGGGCCTGAGTATTGGATTTTTTTGTTTTTACCACCATAACCCTGAATTAAATAAAGCATAAATTACTACGAAGATACATTATATAAAAATAATAAACAAAAGAAACAATTGATTGTAATTCTGAAGTTAATGTAGATCAAATGGGGGCAATTAATGAAAAGGACTAGAACAAATTTCTGTTGTTACAGAGGCTGTTTTTTTTCTTATAAAAATGATAAACATTGCTCGAGAACATAAAATGAGATTAAATTATTAGTAAATGCTCTGAAATTATTTCTATTAGTTGATGCTGAACTATTCGCAACTATAATTTTATCAAAGCAATCAGTACTGAATGCTCAAGAAACAAAGCTAACACAAATATTCTTTCTCCTCCTATACTCAATAATTTTAATAAAGGTTTATGCCGTGTTTTCACTTTTTCCCATGCTAATTTCATGTTAAGCTGAAATTTATATTCGAGGAAAAAAATCAACAATAGTTATGAATACGCAAACTCTTCATTTTGTGACATCTTCAGTTTGGTTTCTTGTTTGAAATGCCAGATTAAATTTTTCTCTATCTAATTTGGGTGTGATTGGACTTAGTTGTCTGGTTAAGCTATGGTGGTGTTCTCAAAACATGTACAAGGTTGACAACAACAATTTCTAATAATACCTTCAACTAGCATTCATCAGAACTTAAGAACCTGCAAATAAAGGAAAGATCACAGATAAATTCTTACTACTGTAGTTTCTAGGCTTCCATTCATCGCATCTCGCTTTTGAGTAGAGGAAGTTCTAACAAGCTCACGTCGCCTCTCATTTGGTTTCAAACTACCACTTGTATTGGCGAACTCCATGCCACTACTTGAAGGTATGCATGATTTCTGTGATCTCAACTGAGCACCAATTGGTACTCTAACCGTACTCGATGCACGGTTAATCATCCTCACATCATCCTTCTTAATCCAAGAGGATCCAAATGCACTTTGGTACATTGAGGAATTTGGGTTAGGTAAGCCATTTTGAGCTTCAGGAAGATCAATGGGAAACCCCAACCCAGCTTCTTCAGGAGGATTGTACTTATCGCTTGCGCTTTTGGTATTTGGTTGGCCTTGCCATCTCTGCAGCATCCATATAGAAGATGGAGTTAGTTAGGTTTGAAGATGTGAAAAGAGAAAAGCATGCACTTTGGCATCATAAATTAAAATTTCAACAATAAATTACTTTATTATCAATGTTAAGGGTAAAAAAATTTCTCTTGGAGCTAATCTTCAAGCAATGCGATAGAAAGCCAATCTTTACAATTTTTTTGGGTATACCAGAAAAATAATAGTGGCAGAAGCCATGAAGTCTTTCTTAGTACCTGCCCGGGAATAGTCTTTTGGTCTGCTGCACCTTTCTTCTCAGATTTTGATGCCTCAATATTGCGAGCTGCAGCCTTTCGCCTATCAAAAATGTGTATTCCAGATGTATTAATTAACTATAAAAGGAAGTGCTTTTATTTGAATAAGATAAATCCTTGGCATATTATTCCGACTTTTTTTTAGTTTATTTTGAAGTTTCACAAAATATTTACCTTCTAAGCTCCTCATCTCGAAGCTTAGCATCGTACTCCTTGCTTGGTGGATATGTAGGCAAGCTCGAAGGATGACATGCAAAAGGCTTTGTTGTGAAAAACTGAAATAGTACAACTCTAGTATTAGGGACTTCAACTTGCTAATATATTATCCATATTACGTAATAATGCTCATTTAAAATTTTTGCTTGAAAGCATATGGAATATATACACATAAAATATTGATCATACAATCACATAGATAGACTATAGGTACAAATAATACTGACAAATGGACTTCAAGTTATACGAAAAGAGGGTATTAAAGCTAAGGCAAATTTATCTTCGAAAGCATATTGTTGAATTAAGTGTTTTAAATATAACTTGATTAATCATATTGATAACTGCACTAACGCAAAGCTAATTGAACAATTTGAGACACATAAAAGTCAAAGGACACGAAAAGGAGCACTTGATAGAACTAAACACACCTCGCTTTGAAGGGCAGATGATGCAGTTCCTCGATCCTCTGGTTGAATAGCAAGAAGAGTATTGATAAGAGCCAGAGTTGAAGGAGGGCAATCCCTGAATGTCTCACCAATTCGGCGAGGGTATTTTTGCTGAGGTTTGAAAATAGTAGCATGGGGTACCTTTGGTTTTCTCCAATACTCTTCTGGAGGGGATCCACAGAGTTTGAAAATTTTATGCAATTGTTCAACCTATAAGAGAATAAAGAAAACCCATAATGCAGTTTTTATTAAAGCAAGTAGCTTCGTGCGCAAAAAAAATTGCTATGGAATGGTTAAAATAAGAATTTATATGTGGATTATGTGGCAAAATGAATAAGAAAGTAATTACCAACATGGATACAAGCAATTTAAAGCAAAATCTTCATAAAATGTCCATCATTTTGCAAGGTGAAAATAGTATTTACAGATCTACAACAGCGAATTTAGCTAAAAACACTTGGACAAAGTGAACTTCATTGTGTATGGTTTACCTTGTTAGCACTTCACACCCTTACACTTTAAAAAAACATATTAAGCCTTTTGCAGTTTAGGTTGGATGTAATATTCACAATTCATCCCTCGAGACATTGACTTGAGTAATATGTCCAGTTATTCAATCATAGTGGAGCTAAGTGTGTTTTTTTTTTTTAGTTCAATGAGGAGCAGTGCAAATGAGGTAAAACATAGCCCAGTGAAATACATTTTGCCCCAAAAGTTTATTCACATAATTCCTTGTAGGTCACTGGATAGAACCAACATTCAAAGAGAAGTCATACCTCAGTTCTTCCAGGCATGATAGGCTTTCCTGCAAGCAATTCTGCAAGGATGCAGCCACTACTCCATAGATCAACAGCAACACCATACTCAGTGGCACCCAATAAGAGCTCAGGAGGCCGATACCATAAAGTCACAACACGACTTGTAAATGATTGTCTTTGGCCAGGGTTGAAAATTGTCGCCAGGCCAAAGTCTGCTATTTTTAGGATGCCATCATTGTCAATTAAAAGGTTAGAGCCTTTTATATCTCGATGTAAAATTCCATGACTATGGCAGTATTGAAGCCCTTGAAATAGTTGTTGCATGTAGCATTTAATCTAAAACACATGGAAAGGTGAAGTAAAATAAGAATAGCTTAAACAAAGAAACAATGTGTAAAAGTTCTAATGGGGCCGAAACCGATTCATATTTGTTAAATATATACCTGTGGCTCGGTGAACTTGATGCCAGGCATTGCGGCAAGTCCAGCAAGATCATGATCCATATATTCAAATACAAGGTATAAGTTGCATGACAGTTTTGATGTAATTATCCCCTCAAGCTTTACAACATTAGGGTGACTGAGTTTACGTAAAATATGAATTTCCCTTGCCATGAAACGAACACTCTCTGGATCCATATTAACAAAACGAACTTTCTTGAGAGCAACTATTTTTCTAGTTTGAAGGTCTCGGGCTTTATACACGCTGCTGTAAGTTCCTTGTCCAATCTTCAAAGAATAATGATAGCAAAGAGAATAACAATCAGGGAACATATCCAACATAAAGAAGCTAGTTTCATGTCTCAACCAACCAGCTTACTAGAATATCATAAAAAGTATAAGTAAGAATCCATTAAGAAAACATGATGGGATTTAAAAGTTGAAAAAAGTGAGTAAATTCATGCCATCAAAAGAATTCAATAGTCTTTTTGCTTACAAATTTATAAATCAATTTAACTTTTCTTTTTTACTCAGTAGTTGCTTCTAGGTAAGATTAAGCGATTAAAATAAAGAAGTACCATTGAAGTAATATGAGATAACAAATATATCATGAAAACTTAGAGATACATTTTACAAAATTACATTTAGACTACGTTGTAGATAAATGCTCTCTGGTAAATGGACACTAAGAAACCTAGTTGAGCATGACAACAATAAAAATGTCGAGATAAATATATGGTAAATTTTGGTACTATAAGCTGAAAAATGATCATTCAACACAAACGATGAAAGTAGCACCAATTAAAGATAAGACACGCATAATGAAGTATAGAAGATAAATCATTGAAACTAGTAGACAAATTTAATGTCGAGAAACCAGGGAAGAAGATACGTAGATTGAAGAGAATATGAAAAGGAACACTGCAAAATTATGCCTATAAATTGTTTCGATACTAATCAAACGCTCACTAGAAAAAGAAAAAAAAATAAGGATTCATAAGGTTGATCACAGATAGTTGATAAGAATAATTTTAAATTGTCTCACTTTCAAATTATTGTTGGTCCTGGAAGAAATTTGAAGTCAGGAGTAGAAATGGTACTAAGAAATACTTCCTCGTATTCTTTATTGCCCCCATGCAGCGAACACAAAGAATGTAATGCCATGTCTCTTAAAAACTAACTATTTAAAATGTAATTCATGCCAGAATACACATAAAAAATCAAAGAAGATGAAATCGTCATTGCATCCAAGCAGAGACCAATTAATGGTATGGAAGAAACATCTCAAGTTCTATACTGACAAAAAAGCTGGTTGAAACTCATCATGAACAATCAAAGAAGACAAATATAGCATAGAAGAACAGCAAACCTTATTTAATTTCTCAAATGAATCCGCTCTTCGAGGCAGCCAACCATTCACTGCTTCTGGTGCAACATTGGTGAGCCATGCAGGCCAACCCGCAGCCACATGCTCACCAGAAAAACCAATCGGCACATCAAAGATCCCTGAATTCGAGCGACCACTGCTCTCTGCAACCAAATTATTCGATTGGAGGTTTTCCCCATCAACTCTGACATCAACAGTCCTACTTCTCTGGTGCACAACAGACATTCCTGTTCTATCCGAAGTGGCCACAATACTACTGTTCTCACCTCCATTAGACTGTCTAGGCAAAGAGGGCACCTTCTCTTGTGGCTTAGCTGCAGGTCTTGTGCTGACCCCAATGCTTCCAGCAGCTGCAGCTTCAGCTTCAGTCGATAAAGCAGCATTCTCCTTCTTCGAAGGAGTAACAAGCCGTTTTAAGGATTTTCTTGCGCCCTGGATTAAATCCACAACAGTTTCCTCTGCTTCGATTTCTTTTGAACAAATACAGCCCATGGGAAAGAATTAAACTGCCAATCTTTTCCCCAAAATACAAAGCCAGGCTGTAGATGTAAAAAGGAGATGCATCAAGCCTACTTGCACAATATTCTTCAAAAGGTTCAAATCCAGAGGCGAACCTGAGGTTTCCCAGCTTCAGACCTTCATGAACAAAAAATCCCTTCTTCTTCAAAAACAAAGTTTTCTTATCTAAAGTGAAATCTCAAAACTTCGGGGGTGTTTGGTAGGCCAATTTAGGGTGGATTTACGTCCGGATTTAATGTAAATCCACCAAACATCATTTTTCCTCCGTAAAATGCGTCCGTCCACTTAAGGGGCTGTTTGATAGCTGGTTTTCCAAACGGCAAAATGCACCTCCGTAAATCCCAAAATGACGCCGATTTGCCGTAAATCCGGGATTTAGTAAATACCGTGAATCGGCAGATTTAGTAAATCCGGGACGAGCGAAGACTAAGAATGGCACGAGCACCTCAATGGTTTCTGGAAGGATCAGAAAGATGGGATTTCAGTAGTCTCTGTCAGCCGCGATCCCGTCGTAGACTTCCCAGCTTGCACTAATGGTGACTTAATCGGGAAGATTGGTTCTCGAATACAATGACTTTGAGCGAAACCGGGATGAAGAGGGAGATGCTCAAGTGTTTGGGCGGAAATGGGAACCAAAAAAGCCAGAAAATAAATCCCGGCGGCGATTGACGGAAGACGATCAAAATCTAAATTGGCCCGCTGATTTTCCGTAATGACGACCCCTGCCTGCTGCTTCCCTCGAGTTTGCTCCCGATCTATCAGCTTCCCTATCCCTAAACCCTATGTGCATCTTTTCTCCCTCACCTCTCCCTTCCCCTGCCTCCCCCGCACTCCGATTCCTGACAATGGAAAGTAAAAAGAAGAGGAATGACGTAACGCAAAAAGATTGAAATTAATGCACAATTTAGGAAAAAGCTGTCAATGAAAAGATCTTATCAGACATGAGAACGCGAATCACAATAAAAATCACGGAATGCGAGAGAGGAATATACCCAACGCGGAACCCTAGAATTCCGGGACGCCGGTGCATTTTAACTCCCTTAGGTTTTTTAACAGAGCAGCCGACCCCTCCGCTCACCTGCAGCTATAACAATTCGTTGCGCCCACGATCTTGGAGAAGATATATGAATCAGACCGATATGTGGGGCCGCTACGGAGGCGGGTTATCGGGCAACATCTGGACCGTCCAATCGGATTATAGGTCCAACGTACGTCTGGGATTGGGGTGGCAGTTGAAGCCAGCGGTTAGTAGCTTATAAAGTAGCCCAATATAAAGCGGCATAGACATGCGGCGCATACTACTTATGAACGGATAGTCCGTACAAGTTGTGTTTGATTATTATCAAGGACTATTTTTTATTTTTATTTTTTAATTATAGTGGACTTTAAAGGTGATGATGAAGATAAGTGGTAAATTAAAGTTATAATTGATATCTATAAAAACTACATGATCAAATATAATTCTTGATGCACTTTTTGAATTAATTTTTAAAATTAATTTAAGGAATATTTGAACTAATCATTATTGTTTTTTATTATCATCTTATTGTCGTTAAATCGCCATCACTATAGAAACATAATTCTAAAATAATCACTACCATCATTTAATCTCTGACCATGTTGTCACACTATCGTCAAATATCTACCATTGTTATTGAATCATTATAATCTGGTCACAACCATCATCAGCAAACTACCTTCACTTGGTCACCATCGCCATTGCAATATTGCCATAACTCAATAGTCGTTGTTATCGCCACCATCATTGGTTTATCTCTGTTGATCGTTGCTGCCTCTCTAACACTCTTTGTTGCTCTAAAAAAAATAAAGTCAATGTCTCACACTCACATAATGTTGCCTTCTCCCATTTAAGGGATGGGCAAAATTTTGTAGCTAACATCTATATAGTAGAATCATTTCAATCGAGCAACACCCCATATTTTTTTTTTATTATTATTTTCAAGTTTTCCACATGAAAACTTGATTTCTACTCTTTCAACTCTCTTTTTATCTGTGTTATATATTTGTATAATACTATGATTCTAATATACGCTCTACTGCCACATATTTTTATGCATCAATAATACCTAAGAAGATGCTTGTTTGAGATAATCAACAAGGACTACCCAATAGAATTTGGAGATTTTGACTAAAAATATCAAAATATTACTCCAGAAAACTTAAAAACAAATGCTTATTCATCACGTGAAAAAGAACCCAAAACAAGAGCTTAAAGTTATATGTATACTTGGTTTGATTTGGATTGACCTGGGTTGACTTGGGTTGACCCAGGTTGATTAGGGTTTTGATTTAGTTTAACTTTATTTGACCTAGGTAGATTAGGGTTTGGGTTGGGTTGACCCAGGTTGACTTGGGCTAACCTAGGTAAGTTAGGATTTGAATTGGGTTGACCCAAGTTGACTTAGTTTGACTCGAGTTGGTTAGTGTTGATTTGAATTGACCCTGGTTGACTTGGTTTGACCTAGTAAGTTAGGGAATGATTTGGGTTGACTCGGGTAGGTTAGGGTTTGATTTGGGTTGACAAAGATTTATTCGGGTTAACCAGGGCAGGTTAGGGTTTGATTTGGATTGAACCGAGTTAACTTGGGTTGACCTAAGCATTTTAGGGTTTGGTTTGGGTTGACTTAAGTTAAGCTTAGTAGATTAAGGTTTGGTTTGACTTCACCATGGTAGGTTGGGGTTTGATCTAGGTTGACCCGGATTGACTTGGGTTGACCCGTGCAGGTATTAGTTATGTTAGGCTAGACTTGAGCTAGGTCAGATCTGGGTTGGGTCACGCATGGGTTGGGTCACCCTGGATTAAGTTTAGGTTATGTTAGGCGAGACCTGAGCTAAGTTTGGTCAGGTCTGGATTTGATCAGATATGGATTAGGTTTGGGTTAGGTTAGGCTAGACCTGAGCTAGGTTGTGTCTAGGTTGGACCAGATCCGTATTAGGTCTGGGTTAGGTTAGATTGAGTCACGTATGGGTTGGGTCAGACTTTGGTTAGGTTTTGGGAGTAAGTTAGGTTGAGTCAGGTATGGGTTGGGTCAGACTTGGGTTAGATTTAGGGATTATGTTAGATTGTGTCTGGTCCGGGTTGGGTTAGGTTTAGGGTTTGGGCTAAACCATTTTAGGGATTAGGATTAGTTCAGGTTCGAGTCAACCTGAGTCGAACCCAAACCTAAGTCTAATCTAAGGATATTGAGTTAACCTAACATACTCTCAAACTTAAACATAACTTAATAATATTTAAATAAAGTAAAAAGACTTACAAAGGAGGAGGCTGACCTGACGAGGAGAAGATTCGTTGGAGAGAACAGAAGGAAGACACTTCGACACTGAACCTTGCACTGCTTTATGCCCTATGCACTGCTCTGTGGATTGTACTCTATTGTCTCTTCTGGATGAGGCATGAACAAAAGCCTTTCATGGGCACTGGCGGCTGTCCTGAGCCGTCAACCAAATGGGAAATAGAGCCTGAATTACTCTAACGATTTATGCAACTGTGGAAGGTTGTCGGTTGTTTTGGGCCGTTCAATTTAATGATGGACATGAGGTTGATCTATGGACGAAGGTAATGGATCATGCTTAAACTCAACTCGACTCATTTAGACCCCTAAAGTGAATCCTCTAGCTTGCTTCTTCATGCAACTATGAGCATCTCAAGCTCACACTCTCTCTTGATGATCCATTCCTTGCACCCCTTTGAATTTGTGGTAATGATGACTCCGCCTTAATTATCATTCAAATTTTCTCCTATAAGGCCCAATTCATGTCGCAATTCAGTGGCTTCTTGAGTTCCTATGATAATATTCTCCATTTGACTTCTATGTTTCCTGTTCACATGCTTTGCTCATCGCTCAATCTTATTGATGTCACTCTATATTAAGCTTTTTTGCCATATCACTGTTTTATATTTCTTTTTTTTTTCTTTTTTTTAATTTATAATTTTATTAGTTGAGCCAAATAAAAACAAATCTTTAGATTTTAAATGCAATATATTCAAATAATACCATATTTAGACTACATTTGATTTTCTTATTTTTTAGGCAGAACGACCCATTTGTTTTCTGTTTGCTTTGAGTTTGAGATTGTTACTAAGATCTATTTGAGGAACTCCTTTCTAGAAATTTTTATAGTGAAAAACTATTCTTTTTTTTTTTCAATATGATCTGTTAAAGTACGACGATTGTAAGAAAACTATTGTCTGATTTCTTAATACAAAAAATATATTTATAATTGTTATCGCAACTTCTTTAAAAATTTATTTTCTAAGTTCATAATTTACGACCAATTAACTATCCTTTTAAAAAAAATTTCATTCGCTCTCAAACAAATCTTTAAGGTGCTCTTTGGGATAATTTTTTGTTTCTATTTTTTTCGAAAACAAAAAACAGAAAACAATGTTTGTTTAATTGTTTTTTCATTTTATTTCTGATGTTTTTAGAAATAAAACATCTATTTTTTAAATATAAAAAACTGAAAAAAACTATATTTTTATTGTTTTGAAAACACCTTAAACAAGTTTGTCTCTAAACACATGTCGGCAGCCACTCACCGCCTGCAGCTAGCCGCTAGCCGCCAGCCGCAGCCCGCCGTTGTCGTTGCCCACAGTCGTTGTTGTCTGTTGCTGCCGCTCACCAGTTACCTGTCGGCGGCGCCGCTCTCCACACCTGCCCAATCGTGTCTTGTTGTCGCCGCCACCCGCCACCACTAGCCCAATCATGTCCCGCTATCGTCGCCGTTCGCCACCCGCTCCCCTCTCGTCGCCCACCACCTGCCTTCTGCCTCCCAACCAGCGCTCGGCGCCACCCACACATATAATGATTCGTGTTAGGTGGAGCAAGGAATATGCAATTCGTGGTAGAGTTTAATACTCGAATGTCACGTAGACCCAATCGTTTTATAAGAAAATATAGTTTTCCTTACAAAAAATAAAAAATACCAAATCAAATATGTTATATATATATATTTTTTAAATATATAAATTATAACAGTACTAAATGTATATTTTAAAAACAAAAAATAGATAACAGAGAACAAAACAAAAACAAAACAAACTAAACAAAAAATAAAAAGTTATCCCAAACAGACCCTAATATTTTGAGAGTTTTCACATTATTTTAATTAAATAGTCTATTTAAGCATTGATTTTCTTGTACCTACAAAGGAAAGCCAATTAAGCTAAAAAAGAAAAAACTAATGCAAATAAGGCTTCGTTTGAGAATGATTATCATAAATGTTCAATCGCACTAAATTGTAAATCGGAAAAATATTTATTTGGTGATTGTCCATTTTTAAAACGTCTCCGAACATTTCATGTGAAGATTGCGAAAAATTGAGCATTTTAGAATGAAGATCTTCAGTCTCGTTCTTCCATGATCACGGTTGGACGAAGTTCTTTAAAGAAAGTTTAAGGGCCTGTTTAGGTCAGCGTTTCTCAGGCGGCATTGCCCCAATCTACAATTCTTTTTCCCGTTTGGTTGTCGCGTTTTGATGTTGTTTCAGATAATTTCCCCGGAACGCGGGCCTTGGGTTCGACTCCACTTCCCGCGTTTCCTATTACCCTTCGTTGCTTATTTTTACTACCATACTCTCTTCTCACACCCGGGCCTCTCTCACGACCGATTCTTCCCCTCTCTTCTCTTGTTGCCGCACCGACTTCTCCCTTCGAGCCCTCTCTCGCGATGAATCTTCTCTGTGGTATTCTCTTTGAAATTGTTTCTATGATTATGATCTTTCGATTGGTTCTTCTCTTGTTGGTTTTTTATTAATGTTTTTTGAATGGTAGTTCTCTTTGTGAATGTTCTCTTACTGGTTCTTCTCTTGCAAATATTCTCTTGCTGGTTTTCGATTGATTTTTGAATGTCAGTTTTTTTTGTGATTTTACGTTGGTGTGGATTTTTTTTTTTATCGGGGTGGTGTCCCTTACTATGGATATTGTGGTAGTCGTGCTTGTGGTAAGGTGGTTGTTGGCTGTCGTGGCTCTGCTATGGGATGTGGTGTGGTGGCCTTGGATTTTGGTGGCTAGGTGTTCATATCTGGTTGTGTTGTGATGTGAGTTTGGGTATTATGGGTGTGTGGTGGCTTTGGCTTGTGTTGTTGGTTGAGTGATTATGTGGTACTTATGGGTTAAAGGCAATGGTGGTAGTGAATTGTGGGGTTAGGGTGGTGGCTATGCCTTGTGCTGTGATGTGGCTTGGAGTGTTGTGATGTGGGTTGGGGTTTTGTGATGTGATGTGGCTCTTTATTTGGGTGTGTTGTGGTAGTTGTGTGGTTGCTTTGCAATGGGTTGTGGTGGTTGTGTGAACTCAGTGCATATGTGGTTGTGGTTTGGTGGTCGTAGGTTTTTGTGGTTGGTTTTGCATATGTGGTCGTGTTTTAATGTGAGTTGGAGTGTTGTGGTTGTGTGGTGGCTCTATCTTGTGTTGTGGGTTGTGTGGTACTTATGGGTTAAAGGCAGTGGTGACAATGAGTTGTGGGTTGGGGTGGTTGCAGTTGGTTGGGGTGGTGGCCATGCCTTGTGATGTCATGTGGGTTGGAGCGCTGTGATGTAGGTTGGGGAGTTGTGCTGTGATGTGGCTCTGGGTTTTAGTGGTTGTTTGGGTTGTGGTCGTTGTTTGGTGTCCCTACAGTTGGTTGTGTGAAGTCAATAGAGATACTATTTTGGTTATTATGGGTTATGACAGTAATATTGTGGGTGCTCATCTCTTCTATATGCATAATATGTTATCAAAATTATGGCACGTTGATTGAGATCAAAAGTACTAGATAAATATCTATTCTTATTAATGTATGTATCAAGATATCAATATGAGGAAGATAATTGGTGAATCTAATTAGTTGGGGCGTTGTGATTGTGTGGTGGCTCTGGTTTGTGTTGTGAGCTGTGTGGTTGTGTAGTAATTGTGGGTTGGGGGTGGTATTTGGTTGTGGGTTGAAGGCAATGACGGGGTGTTGTGCTTCTGTAGTTGTACTATGGTTTGTTGTGGGTTGTGGTGGTGGCTTTGGTTTATGATGCTCTTTGTGGGCTGTGGTGGTTGTGTATTGATATCCAATAGTTAGTTGTGTATTAAAGACAATGGTGGAGTGTTGTGGTTGCGTGTTTATGATGCGGTTTGTTGTGGGTTGGGTTGGTGGCTCTGGCTTGTGGTGGATCTTTGTGGGCTATGGTGGTTGTGCATTGATATTCTATAGTTAGTTGCGGGTTAAATGCAATGGCGGGGTGCTATGGTTGTGTGATTATGGTGTGATTTTTTGTGGGTTGGGGCGGTAGCTCTAGCTTGTGGTTGCTCTCTTTGGGTTGTGGTGGTTGTGCATTGATATCCCATAGTTGGTTATAGGTTGCCACTTGTTGTGTTGTGCTTGTTGTCAAATATAAATTTTTTTTTTTCTTGTGCTAGTAAAGCAATAAGTCTAAAGAAGCTGGTTCATCAGTCACGTGGGATAGAGAAGGCAAACTCATATTTTTTAGACCTTTGTCTTAAAGAGGTTGAGCTGAGAAATAAGTCTACTACTTATTTCAACAAGGGATGGTGGCAAAATATTATGACAAAGTTCAATGAAATGATAGGAAGGAAGTACCATAGGTTGCAACTTAAGAATAAGTGAGATCACTTGAAGAAGGGCTGAACATTATAAAAGGAATTAAAATGGGGATCCACGAGCTTGGGTTGGGATCCAATCAAATGGACTATTGGTGCTTCAGATGAATGATTGACAGAGAAATTGGAGGTAACAATTTTCATTACTTAATTTTCATTACACAAAAGACTATTTTCTAATAATGTCTCTTGTTGAACTATTTAAAGTAATAAACTTTCCCGCATATTGCAGGTAGTGCCGACTGCTAAGAAATTCAAATTCTACGGAATTGACCCTGATTTAGAAGATAAGTTGTACCGTATGTTCGGTGGGGTTATGGCAAGATGAGCTCTTGCTTTCACCCCAAGTGAGCATGGGTTTGCTAGCATACCAGAGGAGTTGGAGGCCGAGCAGGTAAATGACTCTGGTGAAGGCCCAAGCCTAAATTAAAATGAACTGTAGCCCACATGTAGGTCAAAGTGTTCTCAGGTGGAGAAAAAGAAGGAAGAAGGGGCTACATTTATCATAAGCCAAATTACAAGACTGTTGGATGCATGCACAAGTGAGCCTAAGACTTCACATGAAACCTCCGTAATTGACTTTCTCCGAGATCTGGAGGCAACTCCCAAAGTTTATGGGGACATATCGTTATATTTGAACTCCTTGAAGTTGTTGGAGGACCCGATCCATATACAAATCTTCATGAAAATTCCTCATGACCGTAGCGTCAACTATTTACATTTTTTTCAACATCAAGGATAGTTAATTTTGTAGAGTTATTATTGTACCACTTTGATTTTTTCCCGTTGTTTCATCACATAATTAATTTGATTGTTTTTTTCTTACTTGTATGAATAATCTATATGTTATTTCGTATTTATTTCTTCTCATTGTACGCTTTGTCTTTTGATTTAAGATACTTTTTTAACGTTATCTGATTCATATATATTACCTAAACAGAGCACTTGCTTAACATAGATTCACAGAGAGATAAGCGAGGAAGAAAAATTTTAATAGCAATATGTATGTTCTACGAATACTATAACTCCCGTGTCGATCGAACTCCCTGTATAACATCCACTTTTATTGGAGATAAATGAGTTGATGAGCTACTACAAAGACACCTCATAAGATTCAACAACATGTTCAGTGTGAGACAACCTATATTTATTGTTCTGTTTTATAAAGTACATAGCCATTATGGACTCCAAGTCTCCTAAAAAATGACAACAATAGATGTGTTAGTAATAACCCTCTACATTTTATCACAAAATTCATTAATGAGAGAAGCGATAGAATAATTTAGCATTCATCAGGGACAATCAACATATATATTTCAGTGGGGTGAAAGCTCTTGTTAGTTTGTCGACACGAATTATTAAGCCAGAGGATACAACATTCAATAGGACTCCAACAAATATTGTAAATGACCCATTTTTAAGGTAAATCTTTTTAACTCATTATATTCAGAAGTCAAAATGAGTATCGTGTTTATCACAACTTCATTTAATTTGTCAAAACTATATTTGAGCGATTGACGGAACCCACGTGGATGCAAGTGTATCCAATAATGAAAATGTCGCATACATTTATTAGTGTGAATCACCCACACAAAACGTGGTGGTTGTATGTGACTTCAATATGTGTTTTACTTTTGTAATGGATGGTTTGGAAGGTGGTGCACATGACAACCATATTTTTGCTTTTGCGACAAAAAAAATGAAACCATGGTTCCCTCACCCACCTCCAGGTTTATTCAAATCAGAATCACATATATATTTTTTAAATTCATTACTAATTTTTGTATTTGAGTCAAATAAATATTATTTGGTCGATGTTTGATATCTCTTACAAATGGGGTATCTAAAGTGTTGTTCAGAGCAGAAAAAAAAATGTTTAACAAAACATAGTCCTCCTTACGCGGCATAATTGAAAGAACGTTTGGACTGTGGAAGAAAAAATGGGCTATACTGCTTGATATGCCGACATGTCCATTTCTTAAACATGTACAGATTGTAGTTGCTATAATGGCTCTACATAACTACATATGACGATATCATTCTCTAACTGATGTAGACTTCAACATGACTAACAATTATCATTTATAAGTCCAAACATAAGCATTTGAATATCATATAGAACAATCTACACTACAGGCAGAAGTAAAATCACAGGAAGGTTACACCCAGGATGACGACGGTGCCTCAGAAATGGTTGAGTTAAGAGAGCGGTTTACAGACACCAATGTTGTATGTTGATTGGATGATCCTTCCTTTTTTTATACAGCTCATTTTTATTTTTTGTTCTATCATACGGTTCATGGTTGATAGTTTTTATTTTGTATTTATCATGTTGTTTGTAGTGGTTTTTTTTTTCTTTTTCAATTTTTTTTTTTTTTTTTATAATCTGAGATGTTTGACCTTGTGGGTTTTTCTAAATGACCTGTTAGTCGCAGTATGATTGATATCATATATAAAATAATGATGAGGGTAACAAAGTATCTCTTTTTTTATACAACAGCTTTTGAGGTACTTCTAGATGACTATTTTTGGTGATACATATATGTGACACATGCAAATTTGATATTATGTCGATTAAAGACAACTAAGAACTCTTGTTCATAAGGTCTGCTTTCTTCTTATAGTGACATATTCGTTGATATTTGCATTGAGTTTTCCGAGACCTCACGACTGCACAAAACTGTAATTTATTACTACTTTTATCAATTTAAACTTGTGTCATGACTAATGAACTATCTTTTAAAATATTCGGGAAGATGAGCTATAGGATTTTAGGGACCTCCCGATGATTGATATGCTACTGCAGACTTCAAATTTCCTTGTTGATGTTATGTTGACCACATAACTACGAGAGACAATACCACAGGTGCCCACGAAAAACACAGAGAACTATGACTTCTTCCTGTGGGCAGATAGACTTGAAGAATCAACCATCTAAAGTGACCAGACATGCCTAGTTTCTCTGGAGGACAACCTGGCTACTGGCATACACAGTCTCCACTTAAAAATTAATATTATGATATTATTAAATTTTATTTTAATAAACACTTTCATTATTTTAATAAATATGATAATCACTATTAAGTGAGGTTTTATCTTATTTTTTATACTGTTATGAAGTAGATTTTTATTTCTCAAGTATCAAATATATTTGTTAAGACAGTTCTGTTACAAACAACATTACTACACAAGACAGAATGATCATTATTCCATAAATACTTATAAAATAACTGTTTTTCAACAACACAAATAAAATAGCCAGTAAACATATTCTCAACAATTACTTATCAACAGCTTATTAATAATCTCAGAGGTCACCCTTTCATGTGGGCCATCCGGTCACGTGAGTGGAGTGAAGAGCAAAATCGCAACGGTCATTTCTCAGATTTATTATTGTCCATTTTAATATTTAACTTTAATGCACGGTGCCACCGGGTGCACTGCTGCGACTGGTTTTCTTCTCCGTCTCTGTGAACTCTCCTTATACCCTCACTCTTTCGAGCACGCTCCAGTGAAGTAAATGCATCCTGTCTAAGTGGCCAGAACAACTCCACTGAGTTCTCTGTACTTCCGTTTTAGAGTTGGGTTGGACAAATTTTCGGAGTTAATGTACTAGGGTTTAACTGTTCAATCTCTCTTGTTCCGCCTTCTTCCCATTGCTTGAAACCTTAACCCTAAGTTTAGGAATATGCGTTGCTGAAGCGGTGGGTTTCTTGCAGCAGAGTGGAGGACGAAGTCCGTCGGGGTTTTCTTGTTTTAAATAAGAGTTCGCCTTCTCCCGATCTGGTTGGTGTGTAGGCCAAGATTCGTGCTATGAGATGGCAACTGATGTGGGTCAAAGTTGCTACGGTTGGTCGCGCGAGGAATTGGATGACCGGGACGTCTCTAGGGTATGACGGTTTTCTTTGTTTGGATGGACTGGTTCTTTCTGAAGGATTGTACTCCTTTTTCTTTCTTGTTTATGCTAAGATTTTCTGGTGTTCAGAAGTTTGTTACTGTTCTAATTTACATCTTTACCTTTTCTTTTTAGTTTCCATTGTTTGTCTGAAATCTTGTGCTTCAGTCTATGGGATTTAGATGCTAGGGTTTTGGACCAAGTCATTATTAATAATTTTATAGCGTATAATTAGATTCTGACCTATTCAGCAATTTAATAATTTCAACTGAAACTATCTTTTGGACGGATATAACAAAAGATTGTGCTGATTCGTGTCACCGAGATGTACACAGGTGCTTCTAGCATCAGTTGTTCATTTGGATGATTTTGTAGTTTCATATTGAACAGCTTGTGAAAACATAAACAAAGAGAGGAAAATTCTTTCTTCATGCTTTGATGCTTTATAAGGTACATCTACTTATAGTAATACCACCTCCTAAATAACGAAATTACATAATTGCTTATATTCTAAATAAAAAAGTACCTAATTACTTATATCTTAAATAAGGAAGCTATATAATTGCTTACAACTATTTCTTATTATATTACATAGCTAATTATGCAAAAATTTGCACAACTACACAATAATGTATAAAAGGAAAAAACATTAATATTGTAAATCAAATTGGATTTTCAACACTCCCCCTCAAGTTGACATGAAAATATTCTTTAAAGCTGACTTGCACACATTAAACCGTCGAACTGTCTCTTGTGAAGACCTTTCGTCAGAATATCTGTAACTTGGTTGTGGAAAGGAACGTATACCATGCAGATATCTCATTTGTCAAAATTTTTTTTTTTATGAAGTTCTTGTCTATCTTTAGTGCTTTGTTCGATCATGAAGGACAGGATTGTGTGCGATGACGATTGCAGACTTATGATCACAATACATCTTCATTGGTGGTGGACTATGAATTTTTACCTCCTTAAGAATTCTTCTAATCCATAGAACTTCACATATCTCGTGAGCCACAGATCTGAATTCAGCTTCATCACTGCTTCTTACCACGACACTTTGCTCCTTACTCCAAGTTGCTAAGTTTCCTCCTAGAAACGTATAGTATTCTGAGGTTGTCATTCTATCTGTAATACTCCCAACCCAATCTGCGTCTGTAATGCTTCTATCCATAAGTGCTCGTTTTTCTTGAACATTAGTCCTCTTCCAGACGTTCCTTTCAGATATCTAAGTATCTGATACACAACCTCCAAGTGATGGGTGTTTGGAGAGTGCATAAACTGACTTACCATACTAACAACAAAAGCTATATCAAGACGACTGTGTGAGATAGATTAGCCTTCCCACCAGTCTCTGATATTGTTCTTTATTAACACCATCTATTTCATTTGTCAATTGTAATTTTTTATTTGGTTCAATCGGGGTTTCAACTGCTTTGCATCCAAGCATTTTAGTTTCACTGAGCAAGTGGAGTACATACTTCTGGTGATCAATAAAAACCACCTTCCTTGATCTGGCAAATTCATTACCAAGAAAGTACTTTACCGGCCCCAAATTTGTAATCTCAAATTCTGGGGCTAATATTTCTTTCAATGTCTCAGTTTCCATAGAATCATCTCCTGAAAGGATAATATCATCTAAATAGACAATAAGTATAGCAACTTTATCAGTTTCTGAATGTTTGTAGAACATAATATCATCAGCTTGACTCTGAGTATATCCATATTTTTTAATCACCTTTTCGAACTTCTCAAATCATGCGCGAAGTGATTGCTTGAGTCCATACAATAATTTCTTCAATCTGCACACCTTGTCTTCTCCAAATATCTTCTTAAATCCTTGTGGAATATCCATGAATATCTCCTCTAATTCTCCATTTAGAAAGACGTTTTTAACGTCGAGCTGATGTTAGGACCAATGACAGTTTGCTGCTATGGACAGTAGAACACGAATAGAATTTATCTTGGTTACCAGAGCAAATGTCTCCTGATAGTCAATTCCTTGAGTCTCAGTGAATCCTTTCGCTACCAGTCGTGCTTTATATCTTTTGACGCTCCCGTCAGCTCTGACTTTAATAGTGAAGACCCATTTACACCTAACAGTAGACTCATCTTTTGGCAAAGTGACAACTTCCCAGGTTCCATTTTTCAACAGAGCATCCATCTCTTCCTTTACTGCTATTCTCTAATTCAGATTACTAAGTTCTTCCTGTACTGTTCTGAGTTCAGATAGATTAGAAATTTTTGACAAAAAAGCTTGATGTTTGTGTGAGATTGTTTTTTAGGATAGATATTTTGTAATGGGATGTTTGGCAGTACAAGAACGTGTTCCTTTTCTAAAGGCTATAGGAAGATCCATATTCATAACCTCTGAATCTTGAGCTTCTGTTGATGAAAAAATAAGGTCTGGATTGAAAATTACCTGTGTTTCTTGAGGATCATCATTCGATTCTTCAGATTGGGAGGGAACTAAAGATTCAATTTGAACATTTTTCTTTTTGAGTCTTTTCCTAGAATAAACCAGAGGTTCTTTATTCTGCAGTATTTCTCCTCCTGTGTTAGACAAGATAATTTATGGTGCCTTTTTAGATTATTCGAAGGGTTTTTAGCCATCAAGTTGTCTGGGGTCTGACAGCCTAGTTTCGAGAGGATTCATCCTAAACCCTCTTATTTATGTAGAGGTCGTAAAGAAAATCCGAGGTGATATGTAGTTGAAACTTGACGGTTGGTTGACTGTTTTTCTTTCCCATTCAACAATGATATCTTGGGTGTGTGAAATTTTAAACTCTGATAGAGGGTGTTTTTTATGGTAGCTCTTCTCTTTGTTACTTTAAAAGAGTGTCAATTTTAGAGGAGTAAATAATTTTTTACTGGATTTCATTTGAACTTCAAAACTTAGATCTTAGTATAACTGTATGACTAATTCAAGTGACCAGCTTTCACGTGGCTAACCCTAGGGAACTTTGGATTATCATAACATTGTTTTGCTAAGAGAAATTGTCTAGTAAAGGAGAATCAGAATGGGGAAATCTTATTAAGGTTTATTTTTTATATTTACTAGGTTAGGCTACTATAGTTTGTGCCTGATTGTATTCAAAATTTGTTGACATTGTGCCCAAGAGGTGTCAGGCGTTGTCCAATAAACGTCAAAATTTTTGTTAGAAAATATCTAGGCATCCAGGTGCCATGTACAACACAAATTTATGGATTGTCTGGGTTAAAGCGTTCATGTGATTTGGTGGGCCTTTCTAACGATAAGGTCTGGTGTTTTCTAGCGTCTTTATATTATGTTCTTCTGGCTTCATGTTGTTGTAGCAATTATTGTGTATCACATGATTATGCTATCTTCTCTCCTTTTTTGACAGTTTACTTACGGTCTAGTTCTTATGTTCTTAGCCTGACTAGTATATGATCATTGCCTTGTTCTTCTTGCAGGAAATTTCAGTTTCCCAAATGCTTGATCATGGTTCCATATCTTTTGGAAGATTTGCTCTCGAGCCATTGTCATGGGAAAGAAGATCAGTGTTTACTCATAATAGGTATCAAGAAGAACTGGAGAAATTTAAGTACCCAGGTTTAGTTGCACAAAAAAAGGCATACTTTGAAGAATACTATAAGAGAATTCGAGCTATGAAAGCTTTGCAAGAAAACAAGCACGCTGAGACTGCATCAAATTGTGATGACAGTAGTGGCATCTCTGGACAGATTATGGCAGATCAGAGAGCTGTACCAAGCGAGGGTGACGGGGCTGAAATGCTAAATACCACTTTTCCTTTTGTAGAGAAAGGTTCAAAGGAATTTGCCTTGGACATTGATGGTGAAACTGCATTATTGGAACTTGATTCACCTGCAAAGTTGTCAAAAGATGATAAAAATGGTGAAAGCCCTCCAAATTTGAAGCATTGTGAAATTTGGGACATAAATTCTTATAATGATGAACCTATCACAACAAGGATTGTGGATAGTGGGCAGCATGACTTTATAAGAGTTGATAACAAACTGGTGCCACCAGGAATTTTGTCAGAGAACATCTATCAACAAATTGTAGTAGAAAATCATAGAATTATAAAAAACGAGAGTAATGGGGAAGAATTAGAATATTTTATTAGAGAAAAAGCTTCAACTGAAGTAGGCTTGGGCATAGATGTTAAAACTACTTTACTTGAAGCTGATCCATCCATGAAGTCCTCTGAATATAATGAAGTCTATGAAAACGCTCAAAATTCTAAGCAGTTTCAATTCGTTGTTCAAAATTCAGGTGATCATGAACCTGTGACAGCAAACATTGAAGACCACAAGCAGCATGACCACATAATTCAAAATATTGAAGAGATTTCAAGGAAAACTGAAAAGTATGTACTAAATGATACTCTTTGTTCCTCAAGCTCACCTAAAGTCACGGAGGATAATCTGTATGCTGAACAAAAGAAACTTAACCAAGCTGTTAAGGGGTTTAAGCGCAATGTTTTTTCATCTGAAGTTATGGTATGCTCGAATTGTTGCCTTTTTTGGTTTCAATTAATGTTGGCCAACAGAGTTTTTTAAACTGAGATAATATTTTTTCCCTAAAAAACTTCTTATTCCACAAAGTGTCCTTTTGATATTCTTATATTTTTTTGAATTTATATTTATTGACTTGGATTTCCACACCATTCGATGTGGATCACCTAACTAGTTGTAAGTTAATTTTAAACTATCCTAGCTTGCAGCAGATGACTAACTTTGATTGGTTGAAGCTAAGTTTCATATTATTGCTACCTGCTAGCTTGAGTTTTCACATGGCTAAATAATGAGAATTGTTGTGTGTCAACAGATTGTTGAATTGCTTGTCTATAATCATTGATTTTGATTTCGAGCTTATATTGACCCTGCTTGGGTCATTCTTGAAGCTTTTGATTTAGATAGTCTTTAAATGGTCGCATCTGCCCAATAACTTTACAAGTTTACGATGCCTCCTGACTTACCTAGTTGATTTGTCTGGACATAATTTTGTTTTGTCCATCAATTTTTTTTTGCACCTTGCTAATGTATCGAGCTTCAGGTTCAGCCAGTTCTTATATCTTGTTTCTTTTAGAAATCATTAATGAAAATTTTGAAGCATCAGCTTTATATGCATTACTTCGAATGTTTACAATATTTTTTTGCAGTTAATTCCTTGAAAGTCATGTTCTTTAGTATATGAGGTTGGAAGTTTTTTAGCTTTTCTTCATAATTTTCATTACTTCAAAGGAAGGTACAAAAAATTGTATTATCTTTTTTCTTAATCATAAAATTACAACCCATCTTATATAATAAGTAAAGGTTAGGGCAAATTTAATTCCTAACATTACAACTTACCAAAGCCACAACAACCAATATAATGAAAAAAATACTACATAATAAGAAAGGAATAAATGAGAATAAATGTAAAATACAGAAAATTATATTATCTTTTTTCTTAATCATAAAATTACAACCCATCTTATATAATAAGTAAAGTTTAGGGCAAATTTAATTCCTAACATTACAACTTACCAAAGCCACAACAACCAATATAATGAAAAAAAATACTACATAATAAGAAAGGAATAAATGAGAATAAATGTAAAATAAGAAACTCTAAATTTCACAATCCCCCCTCATGCTGGGTCATAGATTTTGTAAATACCTAACTTGATATTTAAATCACTGAAGCTGTTTGGATGTAAAGATTTAGCGAAGACATCAACAACTTGAGAATGAGTTGGGTTGTAGATTAAGGGAATAATGCCTCTATTAACCTTCTCCGAGATAAAATGTCTATCAATCTCAATGTGTGTTTGGTCTTGTTTTGATGTACAAAATTATTTGCAATACTATTGGCAACTTGGCTATCACACAACATTTTATGGGTCTGACCCCAACTCATTTAGTAATTATTGTATCCACATTCCTTCACAAATTCTCAAAGCAAGTGTCTGACACTCAGATTCTGCACTACTTCTAGAGACCGCTGCTTGCTTCTTGCTCCTCTATGTGACATGATTTTCCGACGTAGGAACAATACACAGAGGTGTTTATTTTGTCTATGAATTTCTGCTCAACTAGCATCAATATAACCTAATCCTTCCTATTGTCACATTTTTTAAACAATAATTCTCTGTCAGAGGTCTTCTTGAGAAGCCTCAATCTTCTGTAAACCATCCCCAAATATTCTTCATTTAGATTGTTCATGTTTTCTCGCTATGGCAACAAAGTAAGCAATATTAGGTCTATTGCGTGACAAGATGAGCTTACTCACTGATATGTGGTGCCCACTTTCTTACACTCATGTATTTTCTCCCATTGACTGTGACTTTTTGTTGAAATTCATAGGAGTTTCACCAGATTTTCACCCCAACATTCTTGTTTCTTTTAGTAGGTCTAAGATGTATTTTATTTGAGATATTGCAATGTCCATCTTGGACCTGGCTGCCTCATGCTTATAAAGTTTCACATCCTTCTTAGATCATTAATTTCTAATTCAGTAGCAAGATCCCCCTTAATCTTTCTAATCGTCTTTTTCATCATCACCTGTCAAAATTATATCATCTATATAGACAATGAATATAGATTTCTTACCTCTTTGTATATGTTTTATGAACAATATATGATTTGCTTGGTATTGCATCTCAAGGTCTCCATTCAAAAGTGCATTTTTTATTTCAAGTTGATGCAATTCTCACTCTTTATTCACTGCCAAGGACTCTTACAGTATTTAATTTAGCTATTGGAGCAAAGTTCTCTTGATAGTCTACCCCATATGAATGAATGAAACCTTTGGCCACCAACTGCCTTAAGCGTCGAACCTCTAGCTCCTCATGTGGACCGATCCAATTGGCTTATTCAAACTTCATGCTCCCGTCTGCTGACTTCATGTCCTCGCCACCAAATTTCTTGCAATGTTCACACAAGGGGTTATTCTTCTTTGGCTTTGACTTATGTGTGAATTTGTGTGTGTATAAGGCCGAGCTTTCAGTGCTAGATGAATCTACTCTTCCTGTCATCATGAGCAGATAAATGGTAGGCAGGACAACAACTTGGATGGCCGACGACAAGGACAACAGGTAGAGGGGCGGCTAGTGGCAATGGAATGGCAGGTAGGAGGGCTGGGGGCAGCAAAGGACAACATGTATGGAGGGCTGGCAGCAAAGGTATTAGCAGGTTGGAAGGCTTGCGACAAGGAGACAGCAGATGGAAGGCTCAATGATAGGGGCAACAAGTAGATGGGCTGTTGGTGGCAATGGAATAGCAGGTAGGAGGGCTAGGTGCCAAAGGAAAACAACTATGGAGGTTTGGGGGCAACGGGAGTGGCAGGTTGGAAAGCTGGTGACAAAGAGATAGCAGATGGGAGGGCAATCAATAGGTAGACGGCAGGCAGGGAAGCTGAGATGAAGGTTGGAGATGTCAGGAATGATAGTTAAACACCACCTCATGACGAGTTACAGCTAGAGCACATTCTTGTTTTTGGATACAACCCTACAGGGGAAAACTTTAGACGTCAATGACTATCCCGATAGAAAATTGAAATAAAAAACTAAACCTAGAACACACAAAACACATATATACTATTAGTTAATAATCCAATTATGTTGTGCCGCAAATCCCGACTCCCAAGAGGTCGGTCGAACCTCCAGCTCCTCATGTGGACCGATCCAATTGGCTTATTCAAACTTCATGCACCCGTCTTCTGACTTCATGCCCTCGTCACCAAATTTCTTGCAATGTTCACACAAGGGGTTATTCTTCTTTTGTTTTGACTTATGTGTGGATTTGTGTGTGTACAAGACGGAGCTTTCAGTGTTAGATGAATCTACACTTCCTGTCATCATGAGCATATCCCTACTTTCTTCTCATATGATATCCGTAAAAGGCTTTCCCATTAGTTGAAGTGGCTTCATCCCCTTGATTCCTTCTCAGTCCGCATCTAAGTTCTTATTTAAACCTAATAAGAATTTGATCTTTCTCTTCTTCTCTACTATTGTTTTATTCAACTTAGCATCTTGAGGTCACTTTTATACATTACATTATAAGTGTGTTGATGTATTGAGTCACACTTAACTCTTCTTGTCGGAGCTCATACAGTTTTGCCTCAATATCTTCATGTTGTACTTTATCATACGCCCTATGCACATATAGGGCTAGGGAAGGCAGGAATTAGTATCTGGTGCACAGTTGAAAACTTGCGTCATGGACAGGCCGATGTCACTCGACTGCTGCTACAGAGGATGCGGCTGTCGATGACACAATGGTGTGGTGTTTGGAGGAGCACTGCAATAAATCAACAACTCGTGCGTGCTGGAGGATCCATTTGACTAGAGGAGATGGATTGTTTGAATCAGCGGGCTCGTTGGATTTGAACAGAGGAGGCGGATGATGACACAGACAAATTGTTGGGTTGTTCGGACAGAAGAAGCAAGCGAGCCGATCTGTTCGCTGGAAGAGACGAGCGAGGGCTCCGTTCAAATGGAAGAGATGAGTGACAGTCTCTATCGAAACGAGGGTTGCGGCTAGGGCATGTAGAGTCCGATCGAGAGATCACTGGCTGCTCGCGTATTTTCCTTCCTCATGAATACGGAAGAGGTGGGTGAGACTCGCGGGACTCGCAGCCTGAAGAGGAGCAATCACAGCAGCAATCACAGGAGCAGCGTGAAGACAGACTGCTTCCGTGATACAGTTGCTGAAAGGATAGCTTGCAGAGGAGGGTGGCCTGCTGCAGGGAGGATTCTGTCTACTAGACGCTGTTGGAGGGGCTCTGACGGCCGGTGGAGAGCTAGGATTTATTTCTTGGCTCTGACACCATGAAGAAAGGTAGGGAAGACTATATGCTGTTATTTCTTAATCATCACAACCCTTCTCCTTATACAATAAGTAAAGGTTTGGGCAAACTTAATTCATAACATTACAACTTACCAAAGACACAACAACCAACAAAAGGAAAGAAATACAAAATTATAAGAAAGAAATAAACGGGAATAAATCTAAAATTGGAAAGTCAGAATTCCACCCTTTACAATATTTTTTTGCAGTTAATTTCTTGAAGTTCATTTTCTTTAGTAGTTGAAGTTGGAAGTTTTTAAGCGTATCTTCATAATTTTCTGTTTTAGAAGTTGATCTATGAGAAAGTAAAAAAAAAAAAAACAAAAATTATTATGTGATTTTCTCCCGTGCCTTTTTAAAATTATTATGTGGAGAAGGTTTTTCGCGTATATCAGATGTCATTATCGAGCCATTTAGCACATGAACTTCAAAGCGAGGCAAGACAAAACATATGGAACTTCGAGTTCTAACATTCAATGACATAAATCAACAGTTTATGAAACTCCAGTAATTTTGCAGTTACAGTATTTTTTTTTTTTTGCAGTTAATTTCTTAAGTTCATGTTCTTTAGTAGATGAAATTGGAAGTTTTTAAGCTTATCTTCATAATTTTCTGTTTTAGATGTTGATCTATGAGCAAGTAAAAAAAAAAAAAGAAACGAAAATTAGGATGTGATTTTCTCCCGGGTCTTTTTAAAATTATTATTTGGAGGTCTTTGGCGTATATCAAATGTCATTATCAAGCCATTTAGCACATGAACTTCGAAGTGAGGCAAGACCAAACATACGGAAATTTGAGTTCTAATATTCAATGACATAAATCTACATTTTATGAAACTCAAGTAATTTTGACTAGCTGAGTTAACTGGTTAAGGCATTCATTCATATTTTATGAGCAGTTGCTCCTTGGGATGATTATACTAACTTGTTTCTAAATGTTAATTCAGTGGGTTATATTATCCATAAATGTCCTCTTGTATGATGCTTTGGGAACAATGTTGGGAATAATTTTTTGTTCAAATTACATAATCTTACTTTGCTATGAAAAATTGTCATTGCTGATCACTTAATCACTGATTTTACCTCTGAGGCATATGGATGCTTCTACTTCTGATACTGGATATTAGTTTATGTTTTTATGTTGTGTTGTTAGCAGAAATTTCCTTCTTCTGCTGGAGATTTGCTGAAGTTCGAACATAAAACCAAATCAGTCAATGCCATCCTGAGACCAGTTTTGAGGGATTCTTCTCAAAAGAGAAAAGACAAGAACAATGCCTGTATTGTCTCACATAAACAAACTGTTGATAGGATTTTAATCGGCAAACATGCCCCAGTTGCTTCGCATGGATCAAAAAAGGAAATGAATTCCATGTTTACAAATCCTCGCCCATTTACTTTTGGCACTGGAAAGCTAGCTGTTACTTCTAACAGTGCTTCAGCAAGATATGATACCAAAAACATATTGCCGTCACCATCACTTCCTCTTGAGAATATCAATTCAAAGGTCTGGTTTATTGCAGCAGTTGATTCTTGTTTTCATTTTGACCCTCATCTAGGCTTTTCCTGCTTTTCAACTACAAGTTTCATAAAGCCATGTATAATTTTGTTAGTTCGATCCAAACTTCTTAAGTTTCTAATTCTTTCCAGGTTATTTGTCCTTTATTTTCAAGATGAGGTGGGGGAGGTTTTCCTTTTTTTTTTTCTTTTTTCCTATTCCTTTCATTTGTTGTATTTTTTGGTTTCTGTTCGTTTCCATACTGCTATAATTCGTTTATAAAAGTTCATTTGTTGCTTTTTATGAGTCATACATTAATGTCTTTTTTTTTTAGCATGATACTAGTTATCCACTTTGCCCAATTTTACTAACAGGGCGTTTCAAGTAGACAAGGCATACCATATAGCCAGAAAAGGGAGAAACTTGAAAATAGAAGGTGAGTTTTATTTTATTTTATTTTTCCAATTGAAAAACTGTAGGCCTCAAAATGTTGCTCACTTTTATATTCATATTCTGGTTTTAACTTTGTAGGGGCCATGAACCGAGAAGACAACCTCTCTACACGAACAGAGAAGCAACCCACCCAAAGGTAGCAAGTGCAAGCAATGTGATCAGACCGCTAAAGGCGAGGTGGGAGACCTTTAAACTTAAGCTTCATTTTAAAATTTTCTTTCCTTCAATTGAATCTCTCTGTTAAAACTGTGAGTTTGGGGACAGTAGAATCATGCCATGCCCTTGCTATTTAGAGAAGTCCAACATCGTTATGTAGCCAATCATAGTGCATGAAGTTACATTTTCTATGCTGTTGAAAGCCTTCTTTCTGTGATTATTCAGATCTGTTAACCTTCCCCCAAGCTGCAAAGGTGATTCAGATGTTGGAACCAACTCTAATAAGATTGCAAGGAACAATGAAGATGGAAAACGGAAGTTAATACAAGTGGTTTGTATCTCTTTTTTCCTTTAAATAATATTACGAGGATGATGTAACTTTGAAATGTTTTGTTGCATCCCTATCGTTTATTTTTTGGGTGTGAGGATTTATCCATTCTTTTTAAATCACTCGTCCACTTTGAGAATCTAATTGAAGCTTTCAGGAAACATAAACTGTTTTCAACCTTAATCTTTTCTTGGAGAAAGGTTAGAATAATGCTGACACTCTCATCTTTCCTCATCCATATTGCTGGCGCCCCACTGAAAAAATTTACAAAAAAGGGAAATTTGTTTACATACCACTCAATTCTTATGTAATTACACATTTAACACCCAAAGTTTGTATGTACACTTATAACACCTCGGTCACATTAACCTATGCATGAAATGTGTATTTAAAAAAAAAAAAAGGATAATAATGTTGATATTTTTAAATGTAATGTTAAAGATTTGGGTGATATGCATGTTAACATGAATGTTTAGGTGCTAGTTATGTATATTCATAAGAATCATGTCGTATGTATGTTAATGCCCCGAAAATAAAAAGTAAAAGGTAGATTGTTTTTAGAGCGTGTATTGTCTGCATTAATACAGATTGAGTTGTCAATGAATGCAGCTTATTCCTATATTTTGTGGAAAAGGTTGTTTTCAGATTAACTCGTAACTTCCATAGTTTTATCTTAAACGTGGCATCTAATCATTGCAAAGAACCTATTGATCATACTGCAATTAAAAAATTGATTTTGAAAATTGACAGACTGCCCCATCTAAGATGAGGGATTTTTCAGTCAGTATGAAGATTTCACAGCGTGGTGATAATTCTTCGCTTGACAGGAGGAAGCCCAGGTAAGTGTAGGACAACATTCTCAATATTGCTTTTGCTATTTTGCTTCCATGGAATGATCCTCAAGTTGATTTGCTGCAGGCCGGATAAGCCCCACTGGCGTTAAAACGGTAGACTGTGCATGTATATATCTTTGATAAATGAGCGCAAGTAGGTTGCCTTCTATCTTTTTACAATGTAGCAGTGTTTTCTTAGGGCGAAGAAGCATATGTGAAGTTATTGTAAAAGAAATTACCGTGACTATTATAATTTTCTTTATTTTTTTCAAAAAGTTAGACTGTATCTTTCTGTCAGCCACCGCACTTAGCTTGTAAAATGTAACTTTCTTTATAACTTTTTGAGTAAACAGGCAAAAAAATTGTTTCTTCAAATTGCCCCCAGCCGTGTAGTCCAGACCGCAGCGGCTCTGCCGCTGCATTACAAGCGCCGCGCCCTTGATCTCAATATCATATATAGGCAATAAAATGTAGTTTTGGTAGAAATGTAGTCCAGCTATCATTTCATGTCATGAGCATCATAACCATGCTTTAACTGTTCTGCCTCACATATACTATAAACATATTTATTTATTTGTTAAGATTGCTCGAATCTGTTGGGTTTAACATTTTTAGGATGTCAATATCTTCCCCAACACTTGATCAATTTAACATGAGATTTAATTATAATTTTGTAAAATTTTATTAGATGTGTTATCAGTTCTCATATTTTAGAATACTTAGAAAGATATCAGGGTACGAACACCATGCGGCACGAGGCACTTCTGTTATTTAAAATGTAGTCCTCAAACATCCATCAGACTCAATTTTAATAAAAAATTGTTAATATATATGTGTGCGTGCGTGTGCTCGTGTATATATTAGGATTAATGCAAAAAAGAAAATAAGAAATTTAATAGCATTATTTTTGAAGAACTGATGCTTATGGCAAGAAATATCAGCCCAGGCGAGAAATTGATGAATTGTTCGAGTTCGTCTGGTAGAAAAAGAAAAATCAAACGAATAAGTTGAACATATATATTTAGCCTTAAAATAAAAAAAAATAATTTTACTTGTAAAAAATATATAATATTTAAAAATAATTTTATAAAAAAATTTAAATTTATTAATTTAAGACATGGGTGTTGGATATATGTTTTTTATATATATATTAATATTAGTTTAATTTTGATACCTTGGGGATGTATTTGAAATGTGTGTGGATTGTTGGGCAAGTGTTATGATCTCTATAAAACCAATAATTTATTTTTAATATTTATAAATAATTTTTTTGTATCACATCAAAAATATAATTATAACTAACTTGGAACATATAAGAATTGAGTGATATGTATGTAAATCATTCATAATACTATTCTAAATACTAACAACTTATGGTTACCACCTCAACAAAAGGTTCTTTAGTCTCTATAACTCGTCACCCTTAAAAATACTAAATGTATGTTAAGTCATTTATAATACTATCCTAAATACTAGCAACTTATGGTTTTTACCTCAACGAATGATTCTTTCATCTCTATAATTCATCAACCATCAAATATCTACATCTAGATTAAGCTCAATTTTTTTCAAACATATTTCAATGAAAACATCTTGTTTGGGATTGAGTAATATTGCTTCTTCTTTTGTGTTCTTGAGTTTGGCTTTTAGTTTGTTTATAATCTACTCACTAAATTTTTAGATGCTTAGTAAAAATCAAATAGAGTATACTCTTGAGTGCAATAAAAGGAGTAGCCACCTTCATGGATTATCACACCTTCTCCACTAATGAAAAAAGCAGGTTGAGTTAAGGATCTCAACATCTATAACGAACATAGGAAGATATAGTGTAACATTTGTTGTGGAGGCTGATGCTCACTAGTGTAAATTTATTAATGTGGGAATATTTATGAGACTTAAATAAGACATTATATACTATTAGAGTGAAGGACGCATTGTCAATAGCTCAACTCACACATGATACTATTATTTATCACTAACAGGTACTATAATATTATAGTGGGTAAATGATGACACGAGAACTCTATAATATTCATTATTAAGAATTTAGGTTATTGGCTATCTAACAAACTCTTTCTAGCACTAGGATTCATCTATGCTAACAAACCTTAGTTTCATTTTCTCATCTTTCAATATTTCTTTCTCAATCCTTTTTGAGATCATGCCTTTTTTTTCAAAAAAAATCAACTTTTGATTGCCCAAGTTATCTATAGCAGAAGAGAAGACTCCTTGATAAAATTTTAAATGTATTTTTCCTACACAAATTCTTGCACTACATAGTAAAATGGTCATTTCATTGAAGGAGTTTTCTATTCACATTCTTCTCACCCTAGGTAATGGAGAGAGGGAGAAAAGTTACTACCATCAAGAAGTGGATAGACCTTGGTAAGCAAGCTTACTAATGACCTAAGTGGTCTTTATTATGTTTTGTGTAACATGTGGTTTCTCGCAAATATCTTCTTTTTATAGTGATGATTTTACATTCTTTAAACTGTGATTCTTTAAGCTAATAACCTATGTTGTAACATATGATTTTTTTCATTCTTTAAGTTGTGTAACAAGCACTAAGAGTAGTTAGGGTTATCCCAAAAAAAATTGACCTTGTCATCTTTTTGTTAGTTTTGACAACTTTAGGCTAATCCACTCTAAAGAAAATTGAGGTCATCAGGGCTAGATCAAGAAGTGGTATCTTAATAGCCAAAATTTTCTTAGTTTAAAAGCTCATCTTCACATCTTAGGCTAAAATCTAAATAATCTTCTAGTTCGTAATAGTGAAGGTGGGACCATCAAGAGTCATCTTTGGGTTGTCAAAGCCTAGATGACATTATTAGTCAGTTGAGTTAATAAAAAAAGACAAAGATTGCCACAAAAAAAAGCTAATTTTTGTTTCTAATATTCCATCAAACTAATTCTATTAATCACACTAACTTCAAATTTTCTAAAAATATTATAATAAGGATCCATATCATATATATATATAGTTACAATGGTAGGTGACATTAATATGCATTATGATAAGAGTGTTTTGAGGATTTTAGTTTTATTTTTGTAGAATTTTAAGTTTCCCCCTTCTCTTAGGCAACATCGTGAAGTTGTTGGATATGTTAACCTGTGCCATTGACATACAATCATAACACTAAGTCAAGTCTAATCATATTCATACCATCATTTATGTACATCAGAAATGCGTCGGCATGAATCCTAAGGTGATTCAACGATCAAGAAATGTAGTACAATGAAAAAGGGCCTATTGACGGAAAACCACAGGACCCACTCTTCTGACCATATGCAACCCCTTAAATCGAGGCTGGAGGCTGAATGAGTGTAGACCATTCAAACAAAAAATTAAGACTAATCGAGCCAAGCAAGACATCAACCTGCTTATCGTCGCAATCTGACTCAGCTAAAGAATTTAATTTCACCAGCTATCTCACGAGCATCCTGAATTCCACATTAAGGGCTGAGAATTGACAATAACATAACCCACAAATATCCCAAAAGACTCCCTTATCAAGGAATAGACTATCTACCAGGTTATAATTATTAACCCTCTGCTTGATAGTCTAGTCACAAGAGATTATTAAAATCTTTGAATTCCATAAGTGCAAAAACTTTAACATTCTAAGATTCATGCAAAAATAAAATTTATTCACTTTTTTGTATTAAAACTTTTTTAACCTAATAAAATAGAATAATAATAATTTTAACTTTTATTTAAAATAATATGTACTCATCTACTAATAGAACTACATGAAAATAGTTTACTTTATACTCATATTTATAGTTGATTCTAAGTTTATTTTATTTTATTTTTATCAATTGTAATCATTTAATTTATATTATAGCAAACTTTTTTCTTTAATGAATTATATAAATCTCAACAAATAAATTATTTTATAATATTTAATTCGTACATACTTTATATTATATTTATAATTCTAAAAATTCATATAAATAACCAGAGAAACCCTTCAGGCTATCGGAAAAAAATTGCGTACGATAGACGCACGCAGCGCTACGTACGATTTTGAGGTTATATCAAGCGTATAAGTGGGTTATATCCGCGGTATAACCCTTTGTAACTTCTATGTACCCTTCTGTAACCTACTTGTAACCTTTCCACGCTTCTGTTATTATATATTAAGAATTTATTAGTAAGTTACATATAAATTATAGAAGATTACATGCAGATTACAAATGATTATACCGCGAAATAACCCCCTTATACCCTACTTATAAGCAAAATTTTTCCCAGGGCATCAAGGTATATATTTGAACCAACAAACCTGTACCAGGTTTGTGCGAAAAGAATCTATCTTCAATCTAGATTCAGGGGAGAGGTCGCGTGGAAGGAAGACGCCCTTTTGAAACGTCGAGCTATATTAATGGCGTCGTTCTCGGAAGCCCCGCCAGGAGATCGGAAAGCTGGAGAGAAGATCTTCAAGACAAAGTGCGCGCAGTGCCACACGCCGGAGAAAGGTGCAGGACACAAGCAAGGTGCGCTTCTTTCCGTCCGATCTGTGGATTCTTTTTTTATTTCATTCCTTCGCCTTGAAATTCTGTCTGAAAGCTTATCCTTCCATTGATCTGCTGCATCGGAGTTTATTATTATCACGATGTTCTATGATTTTGGAGAATAAATAATCTTTTCCTCTAACTTAAAAATCTCCTCATGATATCGCTGTAAAGGTTTGCTGGTTTTCATTGATGGTTTTATGATGACCCTTTTGGATTAAATGGTTATGAACGTGTTTAGGGCCACTTGTTCTTCGTTTTTACCTTTTTTTTTGTTGTATAGAATGATCCCCTTGCTGTATTTGTTCATTAATTCTCTGGATCAACCTTTGGTTTCCTCGGAGGCCAACATTCACTGAAGTTGCTTTCAAGCTGAAGGATACTAAACGGTTGGGTTCTGTTAATGTAGGATTTTGGCCTGTTTGTGTTAAGAGTATTAAATCTTTATTTTGTTAATTTATTACTTTATACTGTTTGAAATATCAGGGATATAGATTGCATAATATTGAGCCTATAAATAGGTCATGCATGACTCATTAATAATAATAAAATATGTATATAAATGAATAGAATCTTGAGAAGGCTTCCTTTGATGTAATGCTTCTGCTTCAATAGTTCATTTTGAGGCTTATTCTGTGGTTCTACTGTAGCAAAACTGGCTGAGTGCTTTGATAAATCTATACTATTGTAGAACCGAAAGTAAAATGAAAGTTAAAAAAAAAGCAAAAATAGAAGAAAGATTGATATTTTAATAACTCTAAAAGCTTTTTTTTTTTTTTGGGTTAAGCTGAGCATAAAGTTTTTTGTTTTGGGATAAATTATTTTAAATGAATAAGCTATTCTTAATATAGTTAATAGGATAATATATAATGTGCTTCCATGATAAAAACTTCCCCCTTTTGAGTTGAGAAAGAATTCTATTATTTTGAGAAATTTTAAGAAATGTTCCACATGTTCGTGTTCCATACTATAAGTTTGGATCATTTCCACCATAGGTGGTCACAATGCACTAATAATGCTGATTAGAAATAAAATTAGCAATCCCCCTAGATATTAAAATTCATAAGGTTAGAAACAATAAAATAAAGGGGAATTTGCATACATAGTACCCAATTCTTATGCATTTACTTATCTCACATGTAAACTTTGATTTTGACATCCAAAGCACCCTACCTATAGGATAAAGTGTAATTCGCTTTTTCATATATCTTTTCAAACATAGAAAAATGTGTTTAGCTTGTAAAAATTAAAGTTTGGGTGTGAGATACGTAAATGCATAAGAATTTGCTGTTATGTATGTAAATTTCTGTAAAATAAAATACTGAAGAAAGCATGGGTTCATCATGCTAGGTAGGTCGAATTACTTCAATATTGTTCATCATGCTAGGCAGGCCGAATTACTTTGAATGTGTACTTAGTAATGATTTTATCTGATCAAAGATAATTTATGAATTGAAATATCCTAAACCAATGACTTTTATTTGATGATTTCTAATCCTGCACACAATAGGAGTGTATTGAATTCAAAATGCATGGTTATCTCTTTGTATGGCCATGTACTGACCTTGATTCGCATGAGAGCTTTTAAGATCCTAACCCAAATACCATGGATTTTGTATCATTAGTACTCCATGTTGATGAATCCTCAAAAGGGTTTCAATGATAGTGTAGACCTTGCAAAAGTAGCACATTAGACTCATTTGATTATAGCACAATATGAATAGATTTGGAGCTGAACTCCCATTAATTTGTGCTCATCATTTACTACTTTCTCAACTTGGTTTCTATCCTTTTGAACCTACTGGTTCAAGGGTTACAAAAGTAAGGTTTCATTTCTAGTGATTATCATACGAGATTAAATTCATCTCCTCAATAGTCTTTAGCATCATCGTATTTGATGGATCATTTGTCCATTCTTTTTCTTGACATATCTTCAAAACCCATGTGGTAAAGGCTTCATAATATATTATATTGTGGTTAATTGCTGCACCCATAATGGGACCGGTCCACGAGGGACTGATCGAAAGCCTTCCAATTGGCCCTCTCCTTCAACAGACGAGCTGGTCCTTTTCGTGAGAAGCAGCCAAGCGGCCAATTTCCATGGCATAGGAAGGGAGGGAGCAGGTGGAGTCCACTGGGGCCATAATCCACATATTCAAGGAGGAGAAATTAAGGGAGTTTGGAAGTAAAGTTTATAAATGCTATGGGAGGATCCTATTAAGCGGAGGAACCTAGGGTTTGTTTTCTTTTATGCATGTTTTGTTCGTTGTTGTGTTTTTCTTTTTCTTGTGGTGTTCCTAGCGACGTCTAGGGTTGTGGGCCACACCCAAATTTCATTCGAGTACTGGAATTGGATTTAAAAAGGGCTAGGGATGAACATTAATTGCCATTCTCAATTGATGTTTGTAATCACTAAGTTTTACATTGATGATATGTATACCAGCTGGTTTCCACCTAACATCTACCAAGTCTTATTTGTCAGCTCATAACTCCATGATAGGTATGCATTTACTACATCTATTGAAAATGATTATGACTTAATGATGGCAGGAATATTATGAGTAGGGCTAGCTGGTAGACTTATTAATGCCGCTTAAAATTTCTTACTGGTGCTGGGTTGCTTTTTTTTTTGCTCTCTTTACCTTAACCAATAAATGTGACATGCAAATGCAAACGCTAATATATGAACATGTGCTGATGTACAACCTATCTTTGACACCATTGCCAAATCCATCGTTGTCTTGAAACTTAGTTATCATGATTTACTGTACCAAAATGAAGGCAATGTAAATGTCGTAAAAAATAAATGCAGTTATAATACAATAGTGCATTTTCAGCCACTTAAAGGCCTCCAAACAAAAGAAAGTATGGTTTTTGTCGTTTCCGTCTTTTTCTAGATTTTTTCAAAACATGAAATTTTCATGTTTTTTTGGCTTAAATTTTCGATACACTATTGCTGAGCCGCCTCCACTTCAGGTTGAAGTTTTGAACGCTCTTTTAAAAATATCAATTGAACTCAATGACTGAAACTGAGTACTAAGGATACATTTGGTTAGCAGTCTGCACTTGTCTTGACAGCGCTGTTGTCCTACCTAACTGCACATTGCTCATTTTGGACAATTATAGATTGGCAGCTTTTTGACCCACCTGTCCAAGATTAGCTGCTTTACTTTTGGATGCTTCCCGATAGCGAAGCATGGTTATGGCCTCAAAAACAAATGAAAAGCTGTTCAAATATAACTGATTTATGTCTTAATTTTCAATCTTGGTTTTATAGTTGAGAATTTTTAATCCTCGTGCGGTTACATTTGATCTTATTCTTCTTGAAATTTGTTGGAAGAAAAATAAAATAAGTAGCTTATTAATTATTTAAATCATGACATGAATCTCTTAAATCATTATGTGGACAGTCGACAATATCGGGTTCCAAGCTCTGGATGTGAAAAATAAAGGGTTGTATTAGCTAGTCGACGGAAGTGTAAAATTTTGTCAAAAAATCATTGTATGAATCTTTTAAATCATTGTATAAATGAGAGGACATTTCTTAGAAGCAACGTACTGTATGACCGAGTACAGTGAAAAGTATGCAAGGGACACTACACCAACTCCTGAGTTTAGTGTTAAATAAGCAAGATTTATCATATTATGGATAAATGTCGACAAATAAGTTAGTCCATAAAACTAATATTAGGATATTAATTTGGATTACAAGTACTTTCTCTAGTAAGTTAATGAAATTATTAGATATTATGATTCATAAGAATCTTACCCATTTAAGAAACTAAATGGGTTGGGGAAAAGGCCAAGGAGATTGATAACATAGGTTTGAACTTTGATATTTAGGTATAGTCGTACTAGAAATGGTGTAGTATAATTGTATATAAGAGTTTTAAAGATAATGTTATAAAAATTAAAAGAATTAGATATGGAATTACAACTCTAAAGATTATTATTGATATTAAGATTCTTTTATTGTTATAAGTGTTTATGCTCCTCAAATAGGTTTAGATATATGTTTAAAAGAAAAAATTTTGGAAAGATCTAGAAGAATTAATACAAAGGATACCTCTTGAAAAAAAAAAAAATTTTGGAGTAGATTTAAATATACATGTTGGTAGAGTGATAGAAAATTTTAAAAAAATGCATGGTGGCTACGGTTTTGGAGTAACTAATGATTTTGTTATCTATATTAGATTTTATTTTAGTTTATGATTTTGTTATTGCTAATAATTTATTTATGAAAAGAGATGGGCATATTATCATTTATAAGAATGAATCTAATAATATACAAATTAATTATTTTCTTATGATAGAAAAGATTGTCGAGATTGTAAAGATGATAAGATCATTCAAAGTAAAAATTTTGAAGCACTCAACATCGATTATTAACTTTGTATTTTAAAATGAAGGTTTTAAAGATGAAAAATACAATGAAATATTAACATAAAATTAGATGTGGGTACTTAAAAGACAATTATTTTTATAAATGAACTTCAAAATATTAAGATTTGTGATGTTCATGAAGAAGCTGATGTTATGTGGGATAAATTCATGAGCACTATGAAGCAACATATGTACTTGAATAATCAAAAGAAAAACTTCTTATATATAAAAATAGTTTGTAGTTGAATAATAATGTGAAAAAAAAATAAAATATAGGAAGTTTTGTTATAAAAATTATTTTAAATGTAAATGCTTAGAGAATTAGAAAAAAATATAAGATGATCCTTGAGGAGTCTAAGAGCATAATTTGCGATGTTAAGAATTCTATTTTTAATAATTTTTATAATAAATTAGATACTAGAGAGGGTGAGATATATGTATAAACTATCCAACAAAGAGATAAGACATAAAGATTTAGTTCAAATAAGTATATTAATGATGAAAAAAAAAGTATTTTTCTTGGATGAGACTATTCAAAATATGTTGGTGAGATATTTTGATAAACTTTTCAATAAATATTTTTAAAATACAATTGATTTTAGTGATTTTAATATTGTTAATAATAATAAAACTTTTTATTTTTACCACCACATCAGGAAAAAACAGAAGTTGAGGAGGCTTTAAAAATGAATGGTGGAAAATCAGTAGGACCTGATGTTATCCCAATAGAAGTTTGAAAATATTTAGGATATTTGAGAATTTTCGGCTTATTAAGTTTCCTAATATTGTTTTAAAAACTAAAAAGATGTTGAGTGGGGGAATAGTATTTTGGTTCTTATTTTTAAGAATAAAAGGGATGCCCAAGAGTATGCAAATTGTAGAAGAATTAAGTTTATGTGTCGTACATTAAAATAATAGGAGAGAGAGTAATTGAACACAGATTAAGACGTGATATAAAGATTTTTCAAAATTAGTTTGAATTTATGTCGGGCAAGTCTACTATGAAAGCTATACATTTATTGAGAGGTTCGATGGAGAAGTATAGAGAGAGTAAAGGTGATCTACAAATGATTTTTGTTGATTTAGAAAAAGCTTATGATAAAGTTCTAAGTTAAGTTCTTTGGAGAGTTTTAGAAAAGAAATATGTTGATACGACTTCTGTTCAAGTCATTAAAGATATGTATACTAGAGCTATTGCATGTGTTCAAACATGAGGATTGACAAAGTATTTGCTTATTTCAGTTGGATTACATCAGGGACTGGCTTTAAGCCCATATTTTTTTTTGCTTTAGTGCGAATATTTGAGAATTTTCGGCTTATTAAGTTTCTGAATATTATGTTAAAAACTAAAAAGATGTTGAGTGGAGGAAAGAGTATTTTGGTTCTTATTTTTAAGAATAAAAGGGATCCACAAGAGTATCTAAATTATAGAATAATTAAGTTAATGTGTCATACATTAAAATTATGGGAGAGAGAGTAATTGAACACAGGCTAAGGCGTGATAAAGTTTTTTTCAAATTTAGTTTGGATGTCGGGCAAGTCTACTATGAAAGCTATGCATTTATTGAGAAGTTTGATGGCGAAGTATAGAGAAAGAGTAAAGGAGATCTACATATGATTTTTATTGATTTAGAAAAAGCTTATGATAAAGTTCTAAGATAAGTTTTTTGGAGAGTTCTGGAAAAGAAATATGTTTATATGACTTCTATTCAAGTCATTAAGGTTTTGTGTACTAGAGCTATTACTTGTGTTCGAACATGAGGATTGACAAAGTATTTGCCTATTTTTGTTGGATTACATCATGGACTGGCTTTAAGCCCATATTTTTTTGCTTTAGTAATGGATGTTCTTACTGGACATTTACAGAAGGATGTATCTGGACATTTACAGAAGGATGTGACATTTACAGAAGGATGTATCTTTGTGTATGCTTTTTGCTTATAAGATTAGAGAAAGAGTTTTAGAAAAAACTTGAATTATGAAGTTTGACTTTAGAGTCTAAAGACTTTCGTTTGAGTATATCTAAAACTGAATATATGGAATGTAATTTTAGCAGTAGTAGATCTTGTGGTGAGGTTGTAATAATGAGTGATCAAGCCACTAAAAAGAGTGAATGTTTTATATATCTCTTGTCTACTACTCAAAGTGATGGTGATATAGATGGTGATTTTATTAGTATAATTCAAGTTGGATGGTTTAAGTGGAGGACTGCATCAGGTTTATTGTGTGATAGAAAGTACTACTTAGACTTGAAGGAAAATTTGATAAGATGGTGGTGAGATCTGCAATGCTTTATAAACAAAGTTAAGTGTTGTTGAGATGGTGGCTTTACAATTAGTGACAATGCTAAAAGAATTATCCGTGGAAGGATTGGTGGAGCTCCAATGGCTAACAAGATTAGAGAGAGTAGTCTTAGATGGTTTGGTCACATAAAATGTCGACCATGTGATGATCCAGTTAGGAGAGTAGATGTTTTAGATTCGACTTATGTTAAGAAAGATACCGGTAGACCTAAAAGACTTGATCTTGTTGCATAAAAAAGTGATCTTAATTTATTAGAATTAAATGAAAATATGACACTCAATAGGACACAATGGAGAAAAATGATTCTTGTAGCCGACCCCATTTTGTGGGATAAAGGCTTGTTGTTGTTGTTGTTGTATTATTCTGTTAAATAATGTTTTGAGTTTATTGAGCTTTATCCAGAATTAATTCTAGCTTTGCTTCATTCTGTTTCTTGTTCTTGTTGATTATGCAATTTAATATTTTAATTACATTCTGCTGTAGAGAAATTTCTAACTTCAGATTTGTATCTTTAGGTCCTAATTTGAATGGCTTGTTTGGAAGGCAATCTGGTACTACTAGTGGATATTCCTACTCCACAGCAAACAAAAATATGGCTGTAATTTGGGAAGAGTCTACTTTATATGACTATTTGCTTAATCCTAAGAAGGTAATATGATTAACATTGGATTATTTGTTTTGAAGGATGAATGTTTGTGTCCGTTATGTCCGTTATGCTTCTCTTGGTTTTCCAATAATTCTGCTTCATTATGTTCTTGCTTTTCAATGCCTTCTTTTTTGGTAAAAATTTATTTTGCCTTTTATTCAATAGGGTAAACTTAATGGTCTTATTTTTAATATTGTACTCCGTTTTTTTTCCCTTGTTAAGCATAGTGCTTTCCATCGCTGAAGTATAAAAAAATGCTTAATTTTGGTGCTCGATCTATTGTTCAACTTCTGCATACGTTGCATTATTCTGATTTTTTTGTAGTTATTAAATCATAGGCTGCTAGTTTTATTCGAACTCCATTTAGTTCATACACTCAGGTAGTGTATAGGTATTGTTATGCAATTTTATTTGGTTTGGCTTGCCCTAGTTTGGGTACTATTAGTCTATTGTAGTCTTTTGATTATTTGCTGTTCTCATTCTTTAGTTGGTTAGCTGAGAAAGATATGCTACTAATTTTAGTTTGCTAGCTGGAGTGCAGTTCATATGCATTTCAGCCGTATATAGGCATCAGGGGTCCACAAAATTTAGATTGCTAATATGTTTATAGTCATGAACACGAGCTGGTTCTATCCTTGTACTTCTATTACTTCTATGTAACTTTTACATACCACAATATCAAGTATACTTACATATATCACTCATTCTTCTCTAGCTGATAATATTTGAATATGACAGTTTGTGTTTATGCATGTATGTATGCATGTATATATATATATATATGTATGTATGGATGTATATATATATGTATGTATGTATGGATGTATATATATATGTATGTATGTATGGATGTATATATATATGTATGTATGTATGGATGTATATATATATGTATGTATGTATGGATGTATATATATATGTATGTATGTATGGATGTATATATATATGTATGTATGTATGGATGTATATATATACACATGCAATATGAAATAATTCTGACATAATATTATGATAATATATTGCATATAAGTCATTATTACGAATATTATTAGCAGTATGTCCAACATTAATTATATGCAAATATGAAATAAAAATAACATGCAAGATTAATAAATACTACAAATAAAAATAACATGCAAGAATCAATTAAATAAATTGGAATCTATACAACAATAAATCAAGATAAGAGTATTGATCAATCTATACAACAATAAAGCAAGGAGAGTTTTCATCCCATCTACTACATCATTATGAAAAACAAGAGAATTCTTCATGTGTATGTCTACATATATGAAGAACAAAAGGGTATGATTGACAAACCTACAAAATAGTTAGAAACCTAATGCAAATAATAAAGATAATGTACATTACAAGGAATGATACTTTTATTCATTTATAAATAACAGTTATTGCATTTTCAATCAACGACTTTGGATGTGTGCCCTACAAACAAAAAGTTCTAATCTCATATGTAAATCATAAAAAAGTTAAATATGTGCAAATATCTGTCTTTTAGTATCCCAACTTAATTGCAAGCTTTTTGAATTACATCACCATCACTCAAGTAAAAATTCTTCTCATCTAATCCAATCGTAACTAATAAATAGTGAGATTTAAAAATTCTAATCTATAATTTTATCAAAGTATATGATAATAATATTTAATAATATGTTGGATTAATTTGATTATGATTCGGAATAAGAAAGAGAGAACTAGAAGAGGCCATGTTATTTATAAACTCTTTTATGTTTGGCGACGATAAGCTTAACAAATGATTAAGGGGTGAAAACAACTTTCAGAAAATCCTAAGCTGAAAAAGAAAAAATGAAATGAAAACAAATTTTTTTTGTTAGCAGTTGTGATATCTCTCGACGAGAGAAAGGTGGCTGTTGGCTGGTTTTAGGTGGAGGGCAAAAGGAGCGCATAGTGCCACAAGATCAAAAAAAGAGGTAGAGGCTTGTGATGTGGGTTTCTTATGGTGAGTAGAAACATCAATGTTTGGGAATAAGATCCGGTTCTCTGTTGTCAAACATAGGAAGGGGCGAGAGACTATGTGGTTGTTTTAGGTCGAAAGGAAGGCGTGGAGGAGTTGGGGGTTACAATGGCAAAGGTTGCATTACCCTAGCCTTTTTTATCTTGAACCACACGATTCTAAGCTTGGTAAGAGCTATGAAATTGAAAGGTGGCAAAGGCAAATCACAGGAGGAGAAAGAAAGGTTGTGTTATTAAAATTGGCTTATGGGAGGTGAAGACAGCTACGATGGCTTATGCATTGCGGTTGATTTGGGATGAATGCAAATTTAAGAGATTTAGTGGTTCGCAAGTGCCATTTTAGTTTCGTTCATAACGTATTATCCCTCTTAAAAATTTTTGTCATCAAATTCATATCTTAGTTTTGAAACAGATACGAGTATTTTACAATTCTTTTTTCTTTAATCTCTCAAGTTGCTTCTCGTTTAGATTGATTTTTTCAAATCACTCTGATAGAATAAATAGACCGGCAACAAAGCTGTTGAACTTCATTCTGCATAATGAGCTTTGTATCTCTTCATAACTCAGGTCTTATTGAATCACCAACGGCTCACACTATATGATGTGAGAGTCATCATGCATGTAGCTTGAAGTGGTGTGACATGCAATACATTGTGTACTCTAACAAGCCTTGAAGGAAGAGCCAATCTGTATAAGACTATCAATTTTGTTGATCACTTCAAAAGGACCAATAAAGTGAGGTTGAAGTCTTCCAATATGATTGTCTTATAACTCCACATAGATGTGAAACCTCTAGAAAGATGATTTCCAAATTTAGATTCATTCTCTCTGTGCTAGGTCAAAATATCTTTAATAATCCTGAACTGCACATAGTTGGTCTTGAATTTGACGAACTTTTTTAGTGGCTTGTTTAACTAGTTTAGGTCTAAAAAATATCCGCTCACTAACTTCAAGCCAACACAAGGGAAACCCGTATTTCATTTTATGAGGAGCCTCATACAGTGCCATGGCCTTACTAGTTAAAAGTATTCATTATTATATGCAACCTCAACTTGCGGAATGTTGTCCTCCCAATTACAAAATGTAGGCTCTTAGCATATCTTCTAATGTATGCATTGTGTGCTCTGATTGATCATCAGTCAGATTGAAATACTGTATTGAAGTCTAATTGCATACACAAAGTTTCTTGGGCTCGCTTCCTTAGTTTGCAAGTAAATCTCTCGTCTAGAGCAGTTATAATAATGATTGTTAACAGTTATAATAATGATTGGTATTCCATGCAATCAAGCAATAGTATTATGTTGATCTTAGCTAACTTCTCATTGAATTGCTCTGCTTGATTGGTTAAAAGTGAGTGAACTTAGTGAGCCTGTCAACCACAACGTAGATGGTATCATGATTCTGCTTCAAATCTTTGCAAACCTACTATAAAATTAATTCCAGTTTCCTCTCATTCTCATGCTGGAATGGAAATGGGTTGCAATAGACTATCAGACCTTTTATGTTTCATATTGACAATCTAACATGTCAAACACTTGGCTATAAAGTCTGCTAAAACACCTTTCATATTAGACCATTGAATCAACTTATTGAGGTTTTGATACGTATTGGTATGTTTTGGATAAACAAAATATAAAATAGAGTATGTTTCCCAAAGTAAGTTCTTTCTAGTCTGGAACGCAACCATTTCTTAAATCGTGATGTACCGGCTTGATTGATGGTGAACTCAGGCTTGAATCCTTTTTGACGTTCTTCTTTAGATGGAGTAGGTCTACATCCTTCATTTGACCTATCCGAATCAGATTCACTGTTGGAGGTCGAACTAACAATTGATACATGATTGAATTGGCTCCTGACAAGACTAATCTCAAGCTAAAGCCGTTACATTTCCAATGTTAGTTTCCACTCTCGAGTGATCATCCAAACTGAGTGAGTTAGATTTTTGGCTCAATATATATGTAATTACATTAGCTTTATCTAGTTAATACTAAATTTGTATATCATAATCTTTCATAAATTCAATCCATTGCCTCTGCCTTAAGTTCAAATAATTCTGAGTGGAAATATACTTTAGGCTTTTATGATAAGTGAGTACCTCATAGGGAACGCCATAAAATTAAAATCTACAAAATCTTTAATGTAAAAATAATTGTGGCTAGCTCGACATCATTGGTAGGATTATTCTTCTTCTGCATGTTAAGCTATTTGGAGGCATAAGTTTCAACTCTATCTTGTTGTATTAGGACATAACCTAATCATTGATGCGAATCATTACTGCAGAGTTAGAAATCCGTCCTTGCTAGGAGGGATGGTGAGGATAGGGGTTGGCACTAAATAATTCTTGAGCTTCTAAAAACTTTGTTGCATTGGGCCATTCAAACTTAGCTGTCTTTTGACCTAGAGATGCAATAACACTAGAAAAGCCTTCAATAAATTTTTTATAGTAGCCAATTAGACCTAGAAAACTATGAATCATGGTGATGATGCTCATCCTTGGCTAATTTATTATCACCTTAATCATGGTAGTATCCATAGAAATTCTAGCTTTGCTAGCAATATGCCCTAAAAATGTCACTTCTCGAAGCCAAAACTTGCACTTAAAAAATTTGACATATATTTTGTTCGCTTGAAGAATATTTAATGCAACCCTGATATGTTGAGCATGCTCCTTTTCACTCCTAAGAATAAATCAGATTGTCATCGACGAAGATGATAACTAAATTGGTCTAAAGTATGATTTGAAGAATCTGTTCATGAGATCGATAAAGGCAACATAGGCATTAGGCAACCGGAATGACATACCTAGAAATTCATGTTGATCGTATTGGGTTCAAAAAGTAATTTTTGACACATCTTCATTCTTGATCTTCAATTGATGATACCCAAATCAGAAGTCGATCTTAGAAAATATGGAAGAGCATTGTAGCTGATTAAACAAATCATCTATGTGAGGTAGTGGATATTTATTTTTCACATTACTTTATTCAGTTCTTTGTTGTTGATGCACAACT